GCTGAGACATTGCTTTATGTTCCTATACGGGTTGCTAGGGTCCTCTAAATGGTTGCTAGGGTGTGGCTAGGCAGTTCTGGTGCTGAGACATTGCTTTATGTTCCTATAGGGGTCGCTAGGGTCCTCTAAATGGTTGCTAGGGTGTGGCTAGGCAGTTCTGGTGCTGCTGAGACATTGCTTTATGTTGCTATACAGATCGCTAGGGTCCTCTAAATGGTTGCTAGGGTGTGGCTAGGCAGTTCTGGTGCTGAGACATTGCTTTATGTTCCTATACGGGTCGCTAGGGTCCTCTAAATGGTTACTAGGGTGTGGCTAGGCAGTTCTGGTGCTGAAACATTGCTTTATGTTCCTATACGCGTCGCTAGGGTCCTCTAAATGGTTGCCAGGGTGTGGCTAGGCAGTTCTGGTGCTGAGACATTGCTTTATGTTCCTATACGGGTTGCTAGGGTCCTCTAAATTGCTGCTAGGGTGTGGCTAGGCAGTTCTGGTGCTGAGACATTGCTTTATGTTTCTATATGTGTTGCTAGGGTCCTCTAAATGGTTGCTAGGGTGTGGCTAGGCAGTTCTGGTCCTGACACATTGCTTTATGTTGCTACATGTTGCTAGGGTCCTCTAAATGGTTGCTAGGGCGTGGCTAGGCAGTTCTGGTGCTGAGACATTGCTTTATGTTGCTATACAGGTTACTAGGGTCCTCTAAATGGTTGCTAGGGTGTGGCTAGGCAGTTCTGGTGCTGAGACATTGCTTTATGTTGCTATATGCGTTGCTAGGGTCCTCTAAATGGTTGCTAGGGTGTGGCTAGGGAGTTCTGGTCCTGACACATTGCTTTATGTTGCTACATGTTGCTAGGGTCCTCTAAATGGTTGCTAGGGCGTGGCTAGGCAGTTCTGGTGCTGAGACATTGCTTTATGTTGCTATACAGGTTACTAGGGTCCTCTAAATGGTTGCTAGGGTGTGGCTAGGCAGTTCTGGTGCTGCTGAGACATAGGATTATGCTGCTATATGTGTTGCTAGGGTCCTCTAAATGGTTGCTAGGGCGTGGCTAGGCAGTTCTGGTGCTGAGACATTGCTTTATATTGCTATACAGGTTGCTAGGGTCCTCTAAATGGTTGCTAGGGCGTGGCTAGGCAGTTCTGGTGCTGAGATATGGCTGGTTCACTATTGTTAGCGTGAATGTGAATATCTAGTTTTTGTTTATTGATTAAATGATAATAATCAATCATGCTCAGATTGCAATGATTAATTGGTGGTATAAATGAGGAATAATGAGGAAATGATGTGATGTTCAGAAGCGTTGCGGAGGTTAATGGGATGATTACGAGTTGAAATGAATGAATTAACCTCTCAGTAAATCTGTGTGTTAGAGAGACTCCACATGATGAAACACAATGTTACAGCAGTTCATCAGCCCTCATTACAAGACCAGGGTCAAGGGTCAATGTGACTGCACACACCATCTGCTGCACACACACACACACACGTACACGAGTCAGTTTCCCACCACAGACGCACTGAGAAACCAAAACTCTTTCTTTGAACAAATATCTGATTACAGTATATTTCCATGAATTCATTTAGCTGACACTTTTATCCAAAGTGACTTACAATTGCTATATATGTCAGAGGTCGCACGCCTCTGGAGCAACTAGGGGTTAAGTGTCTTGCTCAGGGACACATTGGTGTCTCACAGTGGATTCGAACCTGGGTCTCTCACACCAAAGGCATGTGTCTTATCCACTGCGCCATCACCACCCCATGATTACATAAAAAAATCATTTCATTTAAGAATTTTACATATCTTAAATAGGTTCAGAGTAGTTTCAGATGTTTGTGTTGCGGCCTGTGATGAGCTCGGACACAGCACATGTTGTTACTGCTGTGAAACTGGGCCTTCTGAAGTGTGGCTGATTGTTGTGAGTCTATGATTTGACCATCAATTCTCCTTGATGAAGAAAGAGCATGAACGCAGGAGATGTGCAGTGACCATCAGAGAGATGTCTGATCACCGGCCGGAGGTAAAAGCCTGGTTCTGCCTCAGAATATACACTCTTAGGCCCCGTCCACACTACTGCGTTTTCGTTTAAAAACGGAGAATTAAAACGAATACGATCTCCGTCCACACCAGCGTTTTATCTGCGTATTAGAAACGATCTCCGTCCACATTAAAACGACTGAAAACGCAGATTACGTGACCATTCACCAACACTGGGCATGCGCGCGCCGGTGTAAACAGTGAATGACGAATCAGGGAAGGATGCGTCATGACTGATAACACCCAATCATAGAGCCAAGCGTCAGCCTCTGCGTTTCTGAAGTTCTCCGTTTTGTCTCGTCCACACTAAAACGCCCTCCGGAGATTCAAAACGCAGCTGCAGCGTTTCTAAACTTCTCAGTTTTAGGTGGACGGGAGGTGCAAACGTAGCAAAAGGTCTCCGTTTTTAAACGAAAACGCAGTAGTGTGGACGGGGCCTTAGAAGAAATGGTTCTATTTAGACCCAGAAATGGTTCCATCCCCCGCTTCATATATGGAACTCCAAAATGGTTCTATATAGAACCATTTTTTTTGGTAAAAGGTTCTATTGGCCAAGTACAGAACCCCAGGGTTCTATTTAGAACCCAGAGGAACCCTTTTTTTTAAGAGTGTATAGAACCTTTTAGGGGTTCCAAATACGTAGCGCTGATAGAACCTTTTAAGGTTCTATATAGAACCTTTTCTTCTTAGAGTGTTGTAAACACAAAAGGTCATTCTGAACTCTGATTCGCCGTGAGATAAAAAGTCAAAATCTGAGGAAAACAGTCAGCTCACAAATCTGACATCTTCTCACAATTGAGTTTATTATCATGTGAGAGGAAAACATCAATGACCTTTATTACCTTATTATTCAGAGCTGGAGAGGAAAACAGCTCACACACACTCCCAAACCTGTCCTGTGTGTGTGTGTGTGTGTGTGTGAGGGTGGGTGGGTGGCAGCGGCTGCAGTTGCTTTGAGCAGCGTGACCTAACTGGGGTCAAAGGTCAAAGGTTTATAAGGAAAGAGGTAGTAACTGTTTTAAATAGGGTAGGAAACCTCCAAGTCGCTCCCCACCCCCCACCTGCTCTGCACTGAACACCTGACACACACACACATGCTAACAAGCCTGCGCTCATGCTACAAAACGTGATTGTAATTATTTTTATTATTTTGAATTACATTAAGCTTTCACACAAGTTTCAAAAATTGTATTTTAATATTTATTTGTAATAATGTGAAAGCTAAAGGCGTGACCCTCTGATGCCAAATCAAGTCTGTGTGATCCTTCATTCCACCACACAGTATATCATGGCACAGTGTGACACCCTTACTAATGATTGTAGTCTAATCTGAACATGTTTCCTTGAATCTCTGTGTGTGAGGACAGTCCTGATGTCCCGAGGGAGAGGTGTCAGGTTTAGCAGAGCTCCAGTGTTCAGACGCAGTCTAGATGTCGTCTCGCTCTGTGTGTGTGTGTGTGTGTGTCGTGTGAACTCTCTCTTTTTGTGACAAGCATCAATGTATCTGGCTGCTAGAGTCATACAATCTCTTATTTCACCTAAGATGTTGAAATTTTGTTTTGTTGTTTAATTTTATGAAGTCCCCCTCTCTCTCTATCACTCTTTATCCCTCTCTCTCTCTCTCTCTCTCCCTCCTGCAGAGCTGAAGAAAGAGAGGAGGGATTTCTCATTTCCTAAACATGTAAAAGGTCTTGCCTCGTCGTGTCAGATCCACTGTGTGTGGAGGAAACTCTGATCACTCATGCTCAGCAGAACAGCAGGAGAAACCACACTCTCACACACACACACACACACACACACGGGCAGGGGTTCAGGCTGTGGGGTTGACGGAGGCTCTGGCTGGCTGGGTGTGTGTTGAGCTCTGGGTTTGCACCACTTAACCTGCGAATACTAATCTATTTAATTATTGACTACGAATACGAATCATATTTGCGTTTTAAAGCGATTAGCTGTCATAAACATTGTTCATTTGTATATTACTTAGCTGCTTTAGTGTTAGGCTTATTAGAAATAAATATGAATTTATATTTACAAGGTTTTAACCACTTATTTAGAATTAGTCCCTCTAATGGTGCGTGTGTGACTATCTGTTTCCCACAGTCTCTGTGTGGCCTCCATACCCCTGACCTCTGCACAGGTGGCTGCCACACGTTTAAAACCAGTTACCTGACCCTGCTCACACCGAGGTCCTGACCTTTGACCCCACAGGCACCTGCTCTGGGTCTGCGGTGAAGAACTGGTCAGAGAAGTCTATGCCAAGTGTAATATTTGAAGTGCGTATAGTAGTTCGAGTGAGCCGAACTCACAGCATCTCGTGTTTGTGCGGAGGAAATGATGTAGAAGTGATGAGACTTGTGGCACGGTTACTCCCAGAATCCTCTGCTCGTGCATGTGCATTTCAGGACACTCACGACCAGAATATTTATGTTCATATTATTGTGCTTTTGTCCCTTTTTTTTTCTTCAGACAAATAAATAAATCACTTTCAGTGTAAGAAAAAAATAATCAGTACCTTCTCTGATAAGTTAACCGTAAAAGCACAATGTTTTGTCATTTAAAATATGTATAAAACACCTGTGAAAAATTAACACATGTTTTTACATAGACTGAAAATATTGAACTTGAAGAGGCCAAGTGTAAACGTAATGAAAGACATGATAACTCTCTGAACCATGTCTTTAAAAACATTTTATATTGTCAGAAAATAATAAAGCATTGCACTGAAGGTTGAAATATCACTGTAATAGGGTTGAAAAGAAGGAAAAAATAGATATTTTGCATGTCATGTATCTTTTAAAAATCAAAAGTTTCAAATAATAAATAAATTTGTTTTGTTACTGTTAATTTGCATCGCACACACTGAATACCTAAATCCGATGAATCAAACAGTAAATTCAAACGATTTATTGCAGGGCTTATTCACGAATGTAACTCCTCTGCTCAGCAAGTGTGGTGTGTTTGTGAATCCAGACAGACCACTGCGAGTAATATATGGGACTGGCGCCTACTGGTGGTGACGGATGATCCGGAAGAGGTGCTTGTGAGTGCAACCGCGATATCCTGGAATGGATCCTAGTTGCTCATATTGAAACTGTGTCAGTCTGGTTGTCTTTTACAGAACAAAAAATAAATCGATAGTTGTTTCTTTATTGAACACAGATGAAAAAATAAGCAATGTAGGTGATATTGTCAACAGATTTAGTAATTTGTAGAATGAGACTGATAGTCTCTCCTTTTGCAGATGTAATTGAGATTGTGGATGGATATAATGAAGGAACAAACACCTCAATGGTTTGATCAGGTTAGTAACAACAGCATAGATGGAGACTCGTTACATGGAGAGAACGGGTAAGTATATAGCAATAACGAAATCAGAGAGAGGGTACCACTCATCCCCACTGCAAATAGGAAAAAGAGGCGACAATTTGTATATAGTTTTCTGTTCATTTTATTTCCGGATTCCAGAAGTTTTAGGTGCTGAATGTTCTTTAGAGCTCCCAGTCTTCATTATTAACCAATGAATTTGCATGGATTTAGCATTTAGGATTTAGGTTTGTTCCTTTGTGGTTAGGAACGCCCTATTTGGTTGAAATTTGCACTGTACACTCACCTAAAGGATAATTAGGAACACCTGTTCAATTTCTCATTAATTATCTAATCAACCAATCACATGGCAGTTGCTTCAATGCATTTAGGGGTGTGGTCCTGGTCAAGACAATCTCCTGAACTCCAAACTGAATGTCAGAATGGGAAAGAAAGGTGATTTAAGCGATTTTGAGTGTGGCATGGTTGTTGGTGTCTGAGTATTTCACAATCTGCTCAGTTACTGGGATTTTCACACACAACCATTTCTAGGGTTTACAAAGAATGGTTTGAAAAGGGAAAAACATCCAGTATGGGGCAGTCCTGTGGGCGAAAATGCCTTGTTGATGCGAGAGGTCAGAGGAGAATGGGCCGACTGATTCAAGCTGATAGAAGAGCAACTTTGACTGAAATAACCACTCGTCACAACCGAGGTATGCAGCAAAGCCACAACACACACAACCTTGAGGCGGATGGGCTACAACAGCAGAAGACCCCACCGGGTACCACTCATCTCCACTACAAATAGAAAAAAGAGGCCACAATTTGCAAGAGCTCACCAAAATTGGACAGTTGAAGACTGGAAAAATGTTGCCTGGTCTGATGAGTCTCGATTTCTGCTGAGACATTCAGATGGTAGAGTCAGAATTTGGCGTAAACAGAATGAGAACATGGATCCATCATGCCTTGTTCCCACTGTGCAGGCTGGTGGTGGTGGTGTAATGGTGTGGGGGATGTTTTCTTGGCACACTTTAGGCCCCTTAGTGCCAATTGGGCATCGTTTAAACGCCACGGCCTACCTGAGCATTGTTTCTGACCATGTCCATCCCTTTATGGCCACCATGTCCCCATCCTCTGATGGCTACTTCCAGCAGGATAATACACCATGTCACAAAGCTCCAATCCTTTCAAATTTGTTTCTTGAACATGTCAATGAGTTGACTGTAGTAAAATGGCCGCCACAGTCACCAGATCTCAACCCAATAGAGCATCTTTGGGATGTGGTGGAACAGGAGCTTCGTGCCCTGGATGTTCATTCCACAAATCTCCATCAACTGCAAGATGCGATCCTATCAATATGGGCCAACATTTCTAAAGAATGCTCTCAGCACCTTGTTGAATCAACACCACGTAGAATTAAGGCAGTTCTGAAGGCGAAAGGGGGTCGAACACAGTATTAGTATGGTGTTCCTAGTATATGATGATAGGTGTGAGCCGGAAATTTCTGCTCTAAATGACCTAAAACTGTTTCTCACTTCTATGAAATTAGAGTGATTCAACTAAAATGTCAGCGCTGACTGTCATGTTTTGTGAGGTTGTCATGCTGTCCGGCAGATCCTTCCTAATGAAGAAGCCTGTGCGGTTCAAGTCCGCTGGTTTCCCCTTCAGAGCCCAGGAACACCCCGGGGAGGTCTTCACCTGAGCCGTCTGCGATCTGCAGCCGTGTGCCGAGGCCTGCTGGCAGCCGTCAGAAACAAAGCAGCAACCGCAGAAAAACATGCCCGCTGGACTAATGTGTGTGTGTGTGTGTGTGTCTGAACAGCCTGTACTGCTCAGATGCAGAGATCAGACTGAACACATATCAAGAGCTGGTGTTATTCACACACAGCAGACGGAGAGAGTCTCCCCTGCTATTTAAAAGCATATATTTTTGAGAAATATATATATATGCATTATATACACACACATACAACATTGAGCTTCCAGGTTTACCATATTTAAAGTCAGCATGAAACAGAAGTTGTGCTCCTCTTTCTATTGTGACACATATCCGAGTGAAAAGGCTTCTGGAACAAGAACGAATGTGGGCGGGGCTTGATTTTGTCCATGTGGAATTGATTGGATGGTTGTGGTTGATCTCATGTGAGTGACAGGTTATAGCCCCTCCCTCATCATCAGAGAAGAGATGCGGCAAGAGGGAGGGGAAGTTACTCTGATTCAAGATTATGAGGAACATGATATTTAAAGCAATAATAATGTGCAAAATATAATAAATCCTGCAATTAATATTGCATAAAAAACAAGAATTGTCCGTTTTGATTTCATAGTGACTTCAGATCTGTTCAGAAGACTTGGATTAAACCGCTTAAATCATATTGATTGCATTTATGATGTCTTTTTATATCCTTAGAGACAGCAAAGTCGTTGTTGGATGGCATTTCAATGGACAGAAAAGCATAAGAGATCAGTGTTTAAATATGAATCTAAAACGTCTAAAGTAAATCTGTTCATCGTGTAAAGCGATTGTGTGTCTTCAGAAGACTCAGATTAAACCGCTGCATTCATACGGGTTACTTTTACAACGTATTGGCAAATGCATTGTTGTTGCAACAAATAATTTATCCATTTATCATTCAGAGTTCAAACTGGTGAAAAACTAAAAATCTAGTTTGAATGAGTTTAGAAGTGACGAGGAGAGATGAATGGCAAACAGCTGTGTGAGTTAATGCTCTGGTTCACACTTGCTTCACACACTCCGAAACTGAGAAGAATGGATTAACTTGAGCGGAAAGCAAATCTTCAACATTAACCTTTACAGCGAGCCGTGTGTGTGTGTGTGAGAGGCAGCAGTCATATTTTTTGCCAGATAACTGTCCATGGAGAGTGGTTGTTCAGGCTGTGAGCAGTTGCATGGGACCACACACACAGACTGACACACACACACACACTGACATGGTTAAATCCATTAAACTGGGATTACAGCAGTCAGTGTACTGAGATATGGAGGAACCAGTGATGCTGAACATCACCCTTTAAATTCACACACACACTGGGTTTCCATGTTTTATAGGGATTTTCCATTGAAAGAGTTTTATACTGTAAAAACTGTATTTCTATGTAGTTCATATTGACGGCATTATTTTATGAATTTATTTTTAAGTGGTTATGTTTAATTTGGGGATATTTGCAAATTAACACTTAATAACAATACAATTCATTTCCAAATTAAAGCTGCAAGCAGCGATGGGCGGGCCCTCGCACCTGTAGCGCGTCGGGTTGTGAGGCGGCCGCGTTGCATATTCTGGAGCTCAGCCGGTGCGGCTGTGAATTTGCTACGCTTCATTAAAGGTCACTTTCTGTTGCCAGCAGGTGGCGCTATGACTTAGAGTGAATGCGGGCATGTAGATTTGTTCAGGGCGGGACTCTTGTCAAATGTGTCAAATTTCATTCAGATCTGGGCATTTACAGCCAAGTTACTACAACTTCCTGTTTCATGGCGAATCATCGACGCCACGGACATGCCCATCGATGAAAACGCGCAGATAGCACAACTTAACATCGTAAATGCCTTTAGAAGGCACAGCAGAAATTTGAAGTCGATCCAACTAAATCCCTAGGAGGAGTTCGTTAAAGTACGGAGTGTGTAAATCGTCCCAAAATGGGCGCCAAATTCAAAATGGCGGACTTCCTGTCGAGTTTAGGGTATGGGTTCTTGAGGCTTTTTTTTACGTCTGGTCATGGTAGATGTACCACAGAAATTTTGTGCATGTCGGTCAAACATGCGGCGGGGGCTGCTTCGTTAAAGTTCACTTCCTGTTGCCAGCAGGTGGCGCTATGACTGTGGGTGAAAGTCGGCATGTAGATTTGTTCAGGGCGGGACTCTTGTCAAATGTGTAAAATTTCGTGCAGATCTGGGCATTTACAGCCAAGTTACTACAACTTCCTGTTTCATGGCGAATCATCGACGCCACGGACACGCCCATCGACGAAAACGCGCAGATAGCACAACTTTACATCGTCAATGCCTTTAGAAGGTACAGCAGAAATTTGAAGTCGATCCAACTAAATCCCTAGGAGGAGTTCGTTAAAGTACGGAGTGTGTAAATCGTCCCAATTTGGTCGCCGAATTCAAAATGGCGGACTTCCTGTCGAGTTTAGGGTATGGGTTCTTGAGGCTTTTTTGTCTTCAAAGGATACACGTCCCCACCAAATTTCGTGCATGTAGGTTGAACGTGGACGAGGGGCTAATTTTTTCAAATTTTCTAGGTGGCGCTAGCGAGCCATTTTGCCCCGCCCATCCGCGAAACCCACAAAATACGAAATTTTTCACCAGTCCTGACATGAGTGCCAAATTTGGTGAGTTTTTGAGCATGTTGTGGCCCCGAAAATGGCACTTACTTTGCAGAAAAAAAAAAGAAAAAAAATCCCAACAGTTTCAATAGGGTCTTCGCACTGTTAGTGCTCGGGCCCTAAAAATGAATTTTTGGTTGGAGCAAAACTCTGCAGGACAGTGGCCCTCCAGGACTGAGTTTGAGAACCCCTGCTCTAAGTGGTCTTAGAAAACCCAAGGTTTTCCGCCCACAAGCAGCGGGGTAACGGATGCACTTTCTTTCCTAAAAGAGCAACTGGATAAGGGCAGCTCCCCATCCATGCTCAAAATCTATGTGGTGGCCATAGCAGCGTTTACAAAACCTGCGTCTGGCCCGTCACTGTGGAAAAATCTGGTCATTTGTTTCCTAAAAGGAGCTAAGAGGATGAATCCTCCCAGACCCCCATCTATCCCCATGGTGCTAGAAGCCCTGAAAGGAGCCCCATTCGAGTCAATCCGGACATCAGATACGAAACACTTGTCTTTCAAAACAGTGTTTCTCATGGCTCTTGAATCAGTAAAACACATAGGGGATCTACAAGCGCTCTCAATAAGCTCAGCGTGTATGGAATTTGGGCCTAACGACTCAAAAGTCATACTCAAACCAAGACACGGATACGTGCCTAAATCCCTCAACACACCGTATAGGGCCCAGGTTATCTCCTTGTCTGCCGTACCGGTTCATAATGAGGAGGAAAGCACAGGCCAACTTTGCCCAGTAAGGGCGTTAAAGGCCTACGTATCTCGCTCGTCTGTTTTCAGACAGACTGAGCAGCTTTTCATTGGTTCAGAGGTCGAAAACAGACCCTATGCTATGACCCGATGGATAGTTGATACCATAGCAATGGCATACACTACAAAGGGACTTTAGTGCCCTTTAGGTGTTAGAGCACACTCCACCAGAGGCATGGCCTGGGATCTCTTTACAAGATATCTGTATGTAGGCAGACTGGGCCTCCCCGTCTACATTTATAAGGTTTTATAACCTAAAAGTCCCACCTTACAAGCAAAATTGCTGTCGGTTTAAAAGTCAAGTACCACGTGCCCCGTCGTTTCGCCGCAGAGTACTGCACTCGCTTGAGCACCACTCAACGGGCTGGGAGTTTTTTCTCAAGGAAAAATAATGCCCAAACTATCACTCAGTACAGGCCGAAGTTTTTCTCTTCACCCTGACTGTGCGTGACACTGTTATAAAGAATAGCCTTTCTTGTGGCTAAATAGGTGGTTTGCAGTCACGTGATTGTGTTGACGCGCGGAATGCAGATGGAGGGCAAGGAGTGAAGAGCGCAATGGACGAGATGGAGGAAAATCCGTACTGTACTACTTTAGAGAAATATATAAACAGAAAATCGAAACATATGTTGGACGTGATCCTTACGTTATGAAGAGGACCGATTTTCAACTGAATTGAGAGATTTGCCTGTAGATATCAGCAACTAACTCGTCTTACAGACACACTTTGACTTTACACAGTTCGGAAACTGGTACGTTACACAAACAGCCACATAAGTGTATTTAAACAGCTGAATAATGTAATTATAAGCCACATAAATAATGTATTAACTCACATTTGACGAAGTGATCACTGCACACACACACACATACCCCTTTTCCACCAAAAAAAGAACTGGTTCGGAACTGGTGCTGGTTCAACTTGCGAACCGTTTCAGAACCTGTTTGTATTTCCACTGACTAGAGCGCCCGGGGAACGACGTCGTTACGTCACTGTGTACGTCGCCATACGTCTTAGCTAGAAACGCTTGCAAATACAACATTACTTTCGGATTATCTCTCGGATTATCTCGAATCGGCTCTCAAAATGCTTCGGTGGAAAAGGGGCAACACAGGATTTTCCCATTCGGCTCCTCCCGACCACAGACGTTGGTTTGCAAGGCATTTTTCCCGGTGTTTTTCTGTCAATTTCTTGTATTTTCCACCCTTATGAACAACGACTTTTGGCACACGATAAAAACTCCTTGTGGTTTGATCGATTTGAGCAACCATAAACGACGCAAAACATAGGCATTTTGAGTGTGTTTTAGTGCTTCCTAATGTAGGAAATCACTTCCTGCCCTCCATCTGCGTTTCACGCCATGGCGTGACGTCACGTGAAAACAAGCTATTATTTCAGAATGATGCTGCTAGACTCTCTTCTCGGACTCTCTGTGAGTTCATGGTGATTATGCACTATATGCCCCTTGGGACTTTGGTGTTGGATCCCTACATACACGGCGTTTTGCATAGTGTTCCCCTAGAACCTCTCGTAAGAGAACGTACTCGGTTACTAACGTAACCTCAGTTCTCTCTAGAGAAGGGAACGAGTACTGCGTATCTTGCCGTGCCTAGTTTGCTTCGGCAATGTAAAACCAGTAATATCAGCCCATCGACCTGTTTACAGGGCTAGGCATCGCCCGCTTTGGCGGGAGCGTGATGCAATGGCCGTGAAGCGCCCCCATTGGACCGTCACCAAAGCGCCGCTCTTGATAGGCTGCTGCAGTACAGCCAATACGCAAGCTAAGCCGCCTCACCTATGTCTGCATGCTGCCGCAACGCATTTTGCAATAATTCAAAATTAAGGATAATTTTTGGGCTTCAATATCTCGAGGAAAAGAGGTTTTTAATGCGCTTTAAAATGACTTTATGTGCATGCCACAGATCAGATCAATGAGATCAGAGAGACGTGCAGGGTTAAATTAAATAATCACTGGTCGTAGAATAAACGCCTCAGGAGCCAAAAGAAACATATTATAATATCAAACACAAATAAATTTCAAAGAAAGTCTCTCTTTTAATAATGCAGATACCAAACATGTGACTTCAACTTCAAAAACAGTAAATGTGGTTAAATACAAACCATGGATCAAGTAATCGCCAAAGCGTGAGAAAACATGCAGTTTCTGACGTCAAGGATGAACTGCAACTCTTGTCCTATACAATTATTTGAGCAGTAAAAGATCATTGTAAACACTTAATAAAATATGTTGATCCTACTAAATATATCAATAAAATGTCATCGCAATAAAAAGATGATAATACAAAAAACTCCCTTAATTAATCCCAAATCAGTGTGTCTGCCTGAGCTCCAGCACATCTCACTTTAACCAGCGCTGGGCGACGACCGATCACATCCCAAATAAAAGTTTGTGTTTACATAATATTTATGTGTACGTTGTATAATTATAATGTATACATAAACACATATGTTTGTATTTAAGAAATACTTGCATGTATATATTGATGATATATATAAATATACATATTTTATATACAAATAACACATTTTTCTTAAATGTATATTTATTATGTAAACACAAACTTTTATTGTGGATGCGATCGATCGTTGCCCAGCACTGATTTTAAGGCTTAGGTAATAATCAATGGAATGTCATTAAAAGTCATCATGTTAGTTTTTATTCTGAAGCCAAACGGACAAGATGTAAACAACACTGGTCCAGAAGCACTTCCTGTTTCAGTTTTTTTAACACTACATAAAAGCTGGGATAAAATACAACCGACAGAACATATAAAACTGAATCACTAAGTTAAACAAACATCTTTAAGATGTTTTTCTTTACATGTGAAATAAAGAAAACAGTTACAAACTGAAACAGGAAGTGCTTCTGGACCAGTGTTGTTTACATCTTGTGAAATGGTGATTTCTGATGTAGGATGATGTGTCTTTCAGGAGATGTTTGGGTGTAGCATGAGGAAGTTGTTGAACAGTGAGTCCCCGTCCCGACTGGATGTGGTGATGCTCTGACGCCCACTAGTGCTGGATACGAGCCGGCGCCCTCGGGTGTGCGAGAGATTCCCCCTCATAATAACTCATATTACTCGTTTGGGTTCTGACGAATGAGACCCGATGGTGGCGTCTCGTCACATACTCATATTCTCGGATTGACTGCGCTTTGTCTCTACATGTAATGGGTCTGAATATTCTCTCACACCTGCAGTCATGAGGACAGTCCTGCGGCTCGGCCAATCAGAGTCCGTTTGGCACTTCTCCGCATCTCAGCGCTGGACCATACGGTGTGTGAGACTTCATATATTCCTGTTACACACACATTTGTAGATGCTGAGGTGAATGGAGGATCATCGTAACACTGTCGGTCCTCACACACACACACACAGAGTGACGCCTCGCTGTGTGTGTGTGTGTGTGTGTGTGGAGGATTCTCCTCAATCCTGATGAGTCTTTTCCTGACTGACTTTGTACTCGTACTGCAGGAAATACAGAAACACCAATCACTGCACTGCGAACGGTTTTCACACGGGGGAAAACAGGACATTTCACAACTTTAACAGCTTCCAGAATTGGCTAATGCATCTAATCATATGCACAATTGTTTGTTTTTTTACTGTACTTATTAACGCATTACAAGTAACATGCGTTATGTAATCAGATTACTTTTTTGATTTAATGAGTAAAGTAACTAAATGCACATATTAATATTTGATTCACTTTTTAAAAAAAAGAAAAGAAATGCACATTTCTTTTCAGTTTAATTAATTACTGAATTTAATTTGTCACTCTTCAACATAACGCAGTGGTCGACACTCATGCACTGTACAGCGAGTGAATAACCCGTCATGTCAGAAGATCTATTGTTTGACACACATCGCTCTAGAAGTCAGGAAAAATTAGAAGTGCTCAACATATTAATATTACTTGAGGCTTAAGCTAGTCTTAACTAAAATGCATGTTTTAACTTAATAAATTTTAAGTTTATGTGTTTTTTTCTAAGGCACGTTTATTATATTTGCTTAAATGTCCTCATTGAATTTAGGCCTAATCCTGGCTTAATCTAAGCCCTGTCTGTGAAACCGGTCATGAAAGTGTTTTTTAAAGAAAATGAAGTATATTCTATAATTTTAGCTATGTTGTTGAATGCATTACTACTTACAAAAAAAGAAAAGAAGACATCGAGCCTCAGCCAGGTGAGAAATATGAACGCACCACAAACATACATTCCCTTCCATAAAAATTAACTAAGTAAATGAATTAGTTGCTTTTTTAAGAGAGTAACACGATATATATTTATAATGTTATTATTATATTTTAATTAAATTATTAATATAATCAAAATGCATTAAAGATGGGTTTAGGTTATCCTAAAAGTGGTAACAAAATACATTTTTTAAGGTTTACATTGTATATTAAAATATATATATTTAAGTTCATCTTCAGTGTGTCAAAATAGTACAGTTGAGTACACTTAGTTGATCTTAAGTTTATCCTAAGAACTAAAGTTAAGATTTTAGTATATTAAGTACAAAATAAGTGCACGCAAATAGAGCACTTTAAGTACATTATGGAAGTGTTTTTAGTGTACTTTTTTGACAAAGGAATACACCTTAACTATAATATAAATATATTTAGAATATATTATTATATTTTAAATAATTTATTAGTATAATTAAAATTAATTTTAGATATAAAAGTGGTAAAATACATTTTTTTAAAGGTTGAAATAGTATATTAAAAATGTATTTAAGTTCATCTTCAGTGTGTCAAAATAGCGTGTCCAAAACAGTGTGTCCAGTGTTTCTGACCCCAAACGTCTGACGGCATAGTGAAACCTTGATCACACACACACACACTGCTCAGAGCCGGTCACATGCGAGAGTTTACCAGAGCGAGCTGTCGTCCGATGTTCCCCACCGTTATCACTCCTGCGAAGAAGATACAGGGCAGCCAGGAGCGGATGTAGAGGAAGTCCGGAGAGGTGTATCTGAACACACACACACACACACAACATGTATGCAAACCCAGTGCGAACTGTAGATCTTAAAGGGACAATGTGTAGAACTTTCTCCCATCTAGTGGCCAAATTGTATTTTGCATTCAAACGAATTGTGCTCTCCAGCGCCTCGCTTTTTCAAACCTACAGTAGCCGTTATGTACAAAAAGCTCTGACAGGATCTTCTAATAGCCTTTCGTCGAGAGTTTCTTCGGGTTGAACGGGCTTGTTCTTTCAAACAAACAGCAACTTGACACAAAGAACGACATGGAAGCCTCCGTGGACTTACCCGTCCCATCTACTGTATATAAAGATAATAATTTCTTTGTTTACAAGGATAAGTCAGATAATTGGCAGAGATATCTGTCCACCATTGAGGACATATTTATTAGGGCTGGGTAATAAATATCGATTTCTCGATATTAATTGATTCTCATTTTTACGAACCGATATCGATTCTTAAATCTCAAGAATCGATTAGTCATCCTGTTTCATTTGAATGAATGGGACATTGTATCACAGCTGCGCGCATCCAAAAAATCGCAATAATCTTTGTCCTTTGTTACTATTGATATGAAATAAAGTCTCATATTTCAAATTACGTCCATTTTCTTTAGAAATTCAAAAACATAAATAGCGTTTAGGCGCTGTGGCGTGATATCGCTCTGGAGAAGCAGCAGCGCTGATCTCTCTTCCGGCTTAATAATACCAGATAAACATGAATGAGCATCTGAAAGTGTGTTAAAGATAGAGTACAACTTATCCAAATCCGTATCATGTCACATTGATTTGCTCAATCAGCGTTTCAACCGTGGAAAGACGTCAGTTAAACAGCTTATAATCAATGTCATGTATCGTCATATTTACCTCAGAAAACCCACATAAACTCGTTAGTCAGCTAGAAAAAAAAACTCTATAGAGGAGCATTTTGCTAAATATATACACCATATTACATATGCATTATAATCTTAATGTTCTTCAATATTTAATGCATATTTGAATAAATCTGGCAAGTTTTTATGACAGCCACCATTTAAATGTTTATATTTCATATAATCTTCTTATTATAAAAATAAATAAGTGTAATTTAAGTGTTTGTATAGCTACAAAACAGTTCATTATTACCTTCATATTAGGCTAATGAAGCCTATAGGCTACAACTAAACTCCCATAGTTTACAGCTTTAGTTAAGAGATTCGATTCCCTTGAGAAAATTGGCCATTTATTGTAACTGATATCCAAAATAATCAATATTGAATCGTAATCGAAATTGAACCGAATTGCAAGCTTGTGAATCGAAATCGAATCGAATTGTGAAATTTGTGTCAATACCCAGCCCTAATATTTATGAATCAAAATATTGATTTTAGATGATAAAATACCTAAAAAAGTACATATTGTCCCTTTAAAACAGTCTGTGTGTAAAGGCAATCACAATATATGACTATAAAGGCTGAAACCTGTCCTCCTGAATGATAAACCCATAGATGTCTCAGAGCGTTATGTCTGTTAGCGTGGATGTTATAAGAGTAGTTCACTTCACCATTTACTCTCCTCCACGTCATCTAAGATGTTCACGTCTTTATTTCTTCAGTGGAAAAGAAATGAAGGTTTTTGAGGAACACACTCCCGGATGTTTCTCCATATAGTGTCTTCAGTGGTCCAGATGTGAGTTTCAGTGCAGCTTCAAAGACACGATCCAGCCGACGAATAAGAGTCTGATCTAGACAAACCAGCCGACATTTACAACGAAATACACATTTATATACTTTTATCCACTAATGCTGGTCTTGCACTCGCTGTGATGCGCCACACATTACGTCATCATGTTGAAAGCAAGCGTGCCGCACAAGCCCTCAAAAGTGAAGCCAAAACGTCTCGATCGCCCCCTTGTGACCGGACCTAGTATAGCTCATAACCCCCGCCTCCCCATGTTATTCAATGGGACGCGAGACCAACTAAACAATTAAATTACACTTCACATATCCTTTTTCCAAAGATAGTTTCTGTCATGTACTGTAGTTTCTATCACATTGATGTAATTTCAAGTGTTCGTTTTTAAAATAAGTTTGTTTTTAATTAGGCCTCGTTTACACTGCATGGTTCAAGTGACCCAAATCTTTACAATATAAATAATGAATAAAAGGTAAAACAATGACGTTGGACGATTTCGAAGTTGGAAGAGAAAATTAGACGTTTTTCACTCTTGCCAACATTTCTGAACCGGAACACACGCAACATGATCACGTAATGTGTGAAGTTGTGGACGCGCAAGACGAGCATTTGTGGTTAAATGTGTGTTTCGTTCTAAATGTCGGCTGGTTTGTCTAGATCAGACTCTTATTCGTCGGCTGGATCGTGTCTTTGAAGCTGCACTGAAACTCACATCTGGACCTTCGACCCGTCGGACCCCATTGAAGACACTATATGGAGAAACATCCGGGAGTGTGTTCCTCAAAAAAACATGAAATGAAAAACATGAATCGTGGGGAGAGTAAATGATCAGGAACTCCTGGTTTGGTGTAGTTCTGACTGTGATTGGCTGATATACGAGCGTCCCTCACTGAAAGACGCCGTTGTAGACCAGCAGCTGAGTGGCGAGAGTGGCGAGTGTGGCGATGGCGACGCCGAGCCCGAAGCCGCTGCGCGAGCGGTCGAAGGTCCACCACAGGCCCACGGACAGGGCGGCCAGCGTCAGAGACAGCTGCACGTTATTCACGAAGTCCACCTTCTGTCGGACACTGTTAAAGAAGAGTCTTCGTACAGGAGCAGGACAACACAAATCACTTCAGCATGTAGAGCGCCATCGTCCTGAACTCAACTGGACTTGGGTAAATATGAACCATATCAAGATATTTTCACACTTTATTCTAAGATATAAACCACACAGCAGTGAAAGGCAAGCCCCTTGTGATTTTCTTAAAAGCTTTTAACAACTGTCTAAACACGTAATCTCATCTACTCACTCGTCCACTTTCACATCATTGTGTTTTGTTCATACCAATAAACTTTTTTTTTTTTTTTAAAGAAACACTTGTTGAAGCCTAAATATCCCTTATTATGGTATTTTAAAATCTAATAGTTCAGCAGGTTCAGATCAGCAACATCAGCTCTTTCTCAGTGTCTAAAACTGTTTGATAAAGGATTCAGTACAGCTTACTCTGCTCTGATTGGTCAGATGACCCAGTCTGTTGTGATTGGTCTACTCTCCTCTAATTGGTCAGATGACCCAGTCTGTTGTGATTGGTCTACTCTGATTGGTCAGATGACCCAGTCTTTTGTGATTGGTCTACTCTGATTGGTCAGATGACCCAGTCTGTTGTGATTGGTCTACTCTGATTGGTCAGATGACCCAGTCTGTTGTGATTGGTCTACTCTGATTGGTCAGATGACCCAGTCTGTTGTGATTGGTATAATCTGCTCTGATTTTTTCAGATGACCCAGTCTGCTGTGATTGGTCTGCTCTGCTCTGATTGGTCAGATGACCCAGTCTGTTGTGATTGGTCTGCTCTGCTCTGATTGGTCAGATGGCCCAGTCTGTTGTGATTGGTCTACTCTGCACTGATTGGTCAGATGACGGAAGGCTTGTTCGACTTCATGCAGCTCTGCGCAGACCGATCTGCGGCTGACTTGAAACAGTGCATGCCGGTTAGAAATGTTGTCCGACTTGATGCAGCGCTGACTCCACGTGACTGTGATGTATGCCATCAAAGTACCGCGAGAGCGATACGAGAGTAGCCGCAGGACTCAGCCAGCGCAGCTTCTCTTTTTTTAAATGTATTTATTTTTTTATTAAAAGCAAAGAACAATACAATCAAAGTAGCACAAAAGTAAATAAATAATAAAAAAATATCGAAAAATAATCAACAGTACAGTTAAAGTAGTAAAAAAAAAAAAAAAAAAAAACCCCAGCGCAGCTTCTCAAGAGCGGCTGCACGAGCTCTGATGATGTCACAGCTGTTCCACGATTCACCGGATTCAACGCATGACAACGATCACGTGCGTTTCGTGTTTATTCTCGCATTTAGTTCCACTAAAGCTCACAAATCAGTTTTCTATAACAGTAAACAGTCTTTTCATGTAGTCGCGATGTTATATTGTGTCATGTTTATCATGTTTATCAAAATAAAACTGATTAAAAAACGTTGACTCCACGTCATTGATTATAGGCTTATTTTGAACTTTATTCCAGTTCAAACAGATGCTGTATGAAGCAGTAAAGTATTGAATGAAAATGAAATATCTGTGTTTATTTGGCAAATGTTGCATTTATTTCACTTAAGCTGTGGTAAAGCATGCTAATACCACGTGAGCCGTCACTACGGGAACCAGAAATTGTCCGACTTCACGTCTCTGTTTGCAGCTCCTCCCCGCCTGCACGCGGCTGTTCTCGCCGATCGGTTGCATCCAGCCACAGGCGATGTCGAACACACCTCCAGTCTGCTGTAATTCGTCTACTCTGCTCTGATTGGTCAGATGACCCATTGTGTTGTGATTGGTCTACTCTGATTGGTCAGATGACCCAGTCTGTTGTGATTGGTCTGCTCTGCTCTGATTGGTCAGATGACCCATTGTGTTGTGATTGGTCAACTCTGATTGGTCAGATGACCCAGTCTGTTGTGATTGGTCTGCTCTGATTGGTCAGATGACCCAGTCTGTTGTGATTGGTACTCTGCTCTGATTGGTCAGATGACCCATTGTGTTGTTGTCTGGTCAACTCTGATTGTCAGATGGTCCAGTCTGTTGTGATTGGTCTGCTCTGATTGGTCAGATGACCCAGTCTGTTGTGATTGGTCTACTCTGCTCTGATTGGTCAGATGACCCAGTCTGTTGTGATTGGTCTACTCTGCTCTGATTGGTCAGATGACTCAGTCTGTTGTGATTGGTCTACTCTGCTCTGATTGGTCAGTTGACTCAGTCTGTTGTGATTGGTCTACTCTGCTGATTGGTTAGAGGACCCATTGTGTTGTGATTGGTCTACTCTGCTCTGATTGGTCAGATGACCCAGTCTGTTGTGATTGGTCTGCTCTGATTGGTCAGATGACCCAGTCTGTTTCTGATTGGTCTGCTCTGATTGGTCAGATGACCCAGTCTGTTGTGATTGGTCTGCTCTGATTGGTCAGATGACCCAGTCTGTTGTGATTGGTCTACTCTGCTGTAATTGGTCAGAGGACACAGTCTGTTGTGATTGGTCTACTCTGCTCTGATTGGTCAGATGACCCAGTCTGTTGTGATTGATCTACTCTGTTGTGATTGGTCTACTCTCCTCTGATTGGTCAGATGACCCAGTCTGTTGTGATTGGTCTACTCTGCTCTGATTGGTGAGATGACCCAGTCTGTTGTGATTGATCTACTCTGTTGTGATTGGTCTACTCTGCTGTGATTGATCTACTCTGCTGTGATTGGTCTACTCTGCTCTGATTGGTCAGATGACCCAGTCTGTTGTGATTGATCTACTCTGTTGTGATTGGTCTACTCTGCTCTGATTGGTGAGATGACCCAGTCTGTTGTGATTGATCTACTCTGTTGTGATTGGTCTACTCTGCTCTGATTGGTGAGATGACCCAGTCTGTTGTGATTGATCTACTCTGTTGTGATTGGTCTACTCTGCTCTGATTGGTCAGATGACAGAATGCCTGTTACAGTACATCAGGAATGAGCATTTGTGATGTTGTGCGAGAAGGATACAGCGCTGGCATGATTTATGCCCACGAACACGGCCACACAGCGCATGACATTCGACCACTCCCTCTTGAGGTTATGCGGCTCCCCGAGACGCCGGTCTATACAGGGGTACAGCAAACCTATCAGCGCTGAAAACACAAGAGGGACAGTCAATCAAACCGCTCATGCAACGTCCGAGTCACATCATAGAGCTCACAATCCTGATCAGGGTGTGTGTGTGTGTGAGAGCGTGTGTGTGTACCTGCAGCCGTCCCACAGCAGGGAGGAACCCACCAGGCGGAGGAGAAGATGCTGCTGATGACGTCTGGAGGGAAGAGCGTGACGTTGCGCTGCACCTGCAGCAGGTTCAGCACGAGCGCGAGGAACACTCCCACCATGAAGAGCAGCGCGGAACGCATCAGCAGGTTCAGCACGCGGCTGGTGACGGCGCTGATGTACGGCCCGCGGGGCGCCACACCGTTCACAGTCTCCGTCATGACCACCAGGACTGAAGGACGAGCGCTACATCTGAGACATCACATGCCTGTCAGAGAGAAAGAGATCATAATGCTGATCCTACAATCCCCATATACTTGGATATTGATATAATACCGCGTTCATTGCCATGTGGAATGGCTCTATTATATTTATATCAGACGAGCTGCAGTGTCAATCATGCCTAAAAAAAGATTGTTTTATCAATAAAATGAAACACTAATTTCACATATATTGTCTTTCAAGAATTCAAGCACTTTTTATAAATATGGCTGTTCTCAAGGGTTTGCCAGAGCTTCAATTTCAAAAAGCACTTAAAGCACCTAATAACCCTGTTTTACTATAATAATACATGCAGCCTTAAAGACTTAATTCAAACCATTAAAACATCTAAATTATTCCATATTTTTGAGCAGTAAGGTCATTTCATAATAGCAAATCACATTGTCCTAGATCACAATGTCCTAGAAATTAAGTAACTGGGAATTCAATCCCATATTTGAGAAATATACACACTTAAAATCTGCAGATATCAGTCACACATACACACACGCCATGATGGGTCACTCCTGGTCATGTTAGTTCAATATCTCTCACTGATCAAAGGCCACATCAGCAGGACAGGAGGCCTTCAGCTTCACCTCCATTACTGTCTCTATTAACCTCCCATTACAGTTTACCTGGATTACGAGCAATAATTATTCATCAATAAAGCACACAGTGAAAGTACTAATAGGATGAAGAGGATGAATTCTCCAAAACATCACCATAACATTACAGCTAAACTCGTAGTTTCTGACCCAGTGAGAGACAAAAAACGGTAATATCCTAAATCAGCTGGCTTTCTAACTCTTATTACAATCTATATCTAATAACACGTCACAAACTACTCACCTTTGTGCAGTTTTAACGAATCGTCTCTCTTTCCCTGAGTCTGAACTGTGATATTAAAGTCCTAAGCGAAAGAATCCCGTGGATAATGCTGCTGAATTTCCGCCCCGCTGCTGGCGTGGCTCCCTCCGCAGCCAATCAGAAGGGGCGCTGGTGACGTAATGAAAAACCGTTTGATAACGCACAATGTTTTTTTTTAGTTTCCGAAGCAAGCTAAAACAACTTAAACAACTTAGCAAACAACTTATGTTGTTATTCGTGCGCATGTAATTCTCACAAAAGTTGACAAAATGTTAAAAAAAAAACAGTTTTTACAGTATTCTGAAATCCCGCGCAATCTCGCGCGAGTTTACGCACTTCTTCTCACCTCCCATTTCCGCTCTGAATTTTCACATTCCCGCCATCATCGGCTGCTCGTGTGACTCGCGCGCAGAAATCATCATCATCATACCCGGCGAAACTCACACACCGCCAGAGAGAGTTACATTAAGAGGATATATTCATCCCCCAGCGCTTTCTTTCAGGAATTACCCTCCCGCAGGTAAAAGATATGTGGTTTATGTGCCGACTTCGCCCAGGGTTTTACTCAGAATGGTCAGTTAGCAGAACCAAGCCTATCTCTCGGCCTGGGCTGCTAATGCTAGTTAATTAGCCGCGTGTGGATGATGCGTGTGTCATTATTTCACCGCGACGAGTGAGGATACCGCAGAATAAAGACCCGCTTCAGAGAAATACCCGAGTGTTGCTGTCTTCCGAGGCGGGGAGGACGCGAGCGTTAGGCGGCTCGGCTGGTTTAAAGCGCGCGTGTGATGTCTTGACGTTTGATGCGTTTGTTTACCTTCATCTCTACTCACTGTAACTTCTGTAAACATGCGGGACCTCGAGCTCTCACACACGAGAGCTTTAGCAGAGATATGATGCAAAGTTAGTGGACGGTGGATGTCAGAAGTTTGCCATAGTGACGCTCAAGGCTTTTGGAGCTACAATGATGTGGTTTGACTTAAGGGATTTTGTTTTGTCACGTGGTATTTTTGTAAAGTTGCGAGGAGTTTATCGCTTTAATGCAGAATTACACTGTGATGTAGTTGTCTGAGAGGTAGCGAGGGTTAGTTTTAGATGTGTAGGATGTTATTAAAATAAAGCAGGCAGATTGTTATAGTAATAGTTAACCCCAAAAAAAAAAAAAAAAAACATTTGTTTTACAAAACTGAGTTTATTTCTTCTGCTGAACACAATAATGATATTTTGAATAATGCTGGGAGACAGAGAGCTGCTGTTTATTTACTAACATTAATCCAAAATATCATGTTTTGTGACGGGATACATAAATATCTTCTAAAATGAATGAATTTACATTTTAAGGTGAACCAGCGCTATCCCTTTTATAGTCCATTAATTTTATCTTCTATATGTGTTGAGTAAGAAAAGCCCTGAAGAATCCCTTAAGTTTCCCTTAATTTTGGCTTAAAATGACTGGATTATTAAGTGATATTTGCACTTGACACTGTGACTTTGAGAAAGTATGGCGTAGTTTATTATTTGGGAGTTGGAGTAGTTTGTTTTCTAAAAAAAAACTTGTGCTGGTAGTTTACTCACCCTCATGTCATACAAGATGTCCATGTCTTTTTTTCTTCAGTCGAAAAAAAATAAGGTTTTTGATGAAAACATTCCAGGATTTTCTCCATATAATGGACTTCAATGGGGTCCAAACGGTTCAAGGTCCAAAAGACAGTTTCAGTGCAAACTGTTCAAAGGGCTTTAAACGACACCAGACGATGATTAAGGGTCTTATCAAGTGAAACCATCGCTCATTTAATAAATAAATAACAAATCTCCATCATGTAATAGTGTCTCCTTCACAACAGATGAGACATTCAGGTTCAAGTCTTCCTTAATAATTGTATCCCTCAAAACTAAGGACGCATCGATATGGACATTTTGGCCGATTACCGATATATTGGCCGATAAACCTAAATTCAAATCACAGGCTTTGATAGCCTGAATACATAAACAAAAGCCTCATCCCAAACACTTCAACATAATTCAGTCATGACATGTACAGTATTAGTAAGTAATAAATCAGTGTTAGATTCCTTAACTTTAACTTAATTTACACTCCTATGGCCAACTTTCCTTATTACAAAATGGTAACACTTGTTTTATTACTTGTGACAGTGACAATATTGTTATTGTAGGCTAACTAACAACAAAACATATTTAATTAACTAACATTATCAAAAGCTATTGCTCTGTTAGTTCATGTTAGTTAATTCATTAATACATTAGTCTCACCAAAACATCTATTGTCTAGATTAAATATAATCCACAATGCTGATGTTGTTAAAGAGATAGTTCACCTAAACATGTAAACTCTGTCAGTAATTATTACTGACTCTCATGTTGTTCAACCCGTTGATCTTCGGGACACAAATTAAGATATTTTTATATTCTCTGATTAAATCTGAGAGCTGGATCAGGCCACATTTACACATAGCCGTGTATTTAGAGAAACAAATATTTCCCCCCTCCGTTTTCAACATCGTGCACACAACGTCATTTTCCAAAAAGCTGTAATTTACATCGACCGTCGAGCGCCATCATAGCTGGGTGCTCACATGACGTTTTCTGGCACATAATGTGATGTTTCTCCCAGTCGACACAGCAAAGCATAACCTGCGTTATCAGAAATCTCCACTTTGGCTGAAGTTTTCAGTGATAAAAACAGGGTTTTCGAGTAAATTTCGAGGCCAAACCGCAGGGAAATGTGTGCATCTTCCCTCCGTATAAACGGGGCACCGCTTCTGTGTAATTAGAAACTGTCCGGCCTAGAAAGTTAGTAAAGACATCATTAAAATAGACAGGCCTCGTCAATCAGCCAACAGGAGCGCATAGAGATGAAGGGCATCTAGAATTGGAATGGTTTATTTATATGAATGGTATATCTGTGTGTTAAGTTGTGTATCGTAGTGTTGTGATTCCCTGTCCCGCCCACTTCCACTAATATATTTGCCCGTCCCAATCCCGGGATTAATAGTGATCTTGATTCCCGAATGTCCGCCTCTCCTGTGTTTGAGCGTGTGAAGCCAGCTCTTGTGGAGATGTCCTGCTCCACTTGTACGCATGGAAAGAAGGATTATAGGATGACGGGACACTCGTTTATACACACTTTATTCAACAGGAACAACTCATTCGTCATTACGCTATTTCTACATCATCATCATCGCACATGCGCAGTGCTTTCAGTTTCGCTTCTCAATACGATCAAGTGTTCACATTAGAGCCCGACCGATAAAGGATTTTGAAGGCCGATACCGATACAAATATTTTTGAGTTTTAAATTCCGATATATCGGCCGATATTTTATTTATTTATTTGAAACTGGACATGATAGTCACAAATTTTGTCATGCTTATTTGAGTTAAGAGAACTGATGCGGATGATCTTTTAATTGTTATTCAAGCGATGTATGTATCGTGACAACAGGGACAATGTAGAGTGCCCTCTGGTGGACAAACTATACAACTCCAACACTCATGACATGGTTCAAGCGTGTTTCGTCCATTTTTATTTTATTTTTGAAATATTCATTTATCGGCCATTATAACTGCCGATACCGATAGTTTGGAAAATGCCTAATATCGGCCGATATATCGGTCTAGTTCACATGTTCCCTCGATCGGATTAGAAAAGGAATAAACTTCCTCTTTCAATCCGATCGAAATTTAATTCGATGACTAATGGGTTATTTGGTTGCATGCATTGCAGATGTAGCCACTGCTCAGTGGGAACCCCATCTCTGATGTTTAGCAATCTTATGTGTGTGTGTGAAGTGTTGACGTGTGGGCTTGCCTCTGGTCTTCTGTCAGGATCATTGGCCTCTACGTGTGCCGGAGATCGAGGAGGTCCTGATGTCTGTCTCCGGGCCCAGACTGACCAGCGGCGGCCCGGTCCGCATACGCATCCGCTGTGGAGAACTGGGAACCACCAAATGGAGAGAGGGCGTCTTCGAAATCCACGAGAGAGACAACAAAATAAACCTGCAAGTGAAGTTCAACAGCGGCGGAGCGCCCAGGATGTTCCAGGTGCACACACACACACACACACACCGTCTTTAACACACGTGGAGCAGTGGTCAGGCAGTTGTAGGGTGTTTTTATTAGTTTATTGAGAAAAAAAAAAAAAAAACGCATGTGTTTTTGAACTATTATATTTGATGCATCAGTTTTTTATAAGTCGTATAGTGAGGATATCAAGGGGAAAAACAGCTCGGTTTTATTCAGAAGCCAAAACTGAATATGCTGATATTCAAATGGACCAAGTCATATAAATATTAGTCGTCTCTATATATGAAGAGTTCAGATGCAAAAGCCTCTAAATGCCATTTGAAATTTTCTTCTTTAATGATAATTTTTATCAAACTTGTATATTTAAGTTCAGTAATTTCACTTAAATAACAATTAATAGGTAATCATCATTGCCATTTAAGTGAAATCACTGAACTTAAATATACAAGCTTGATAAATTATCATTAAAGAAGAAAATTTCAAATGGCATTTAGAGGCTTTTGCATCTGAACTCTTCATATAATGTGTCTTAGTAATATGATATTTAATTAGGGGTGTTTAATTAGCCAGAAGGACCGGAGGACGAAGTTTCTTTAGCAAGGTTTCATCATTTAGATGCTTTAGAAACCACTATAAGAGACGCAGTCTAATTAAGACACGAGCATTAAATGTGTTTTCCGGATGTTATTTAATCTCATTTTGTGTTTATTTTATTTCAGCTGAATCACAATGTAAAGCAGGTTTCGTGGTATCAAACGCACTGCCCGACTCGAATGACTTTGACTCTGAAAGACTCGAGTGTTGTCATGATGGAAAAAATGAACATGTTGGTGGCAAAAAAAATGAGGGAATACCTTGAGAAGGTCCGGCTCGGCAAACCAGCAGGTACATGCGTCTGCCCTCACTGCCGCTAGTCCTCGCGCCCCGTCAATCATACACGTATACATTAGGGATGTGCAACGAGTTATAGCGATCAATCACATCTAAAATAAAAGTTTGTTTGCATAATGTGTGTGTGTTCTGTGTATAATTATTTAGTATATTTAAATACACACACATGCATGTAAGACATATTTGCATCTATATACTGTAGAGTCAGGGATTTTGAATGAACTCGGACTTGTCACGCACTCAGATGAATTTGTATTCGGACATTTTAGACTCTCCGAAGTGTCTGGGCACAGGGGGACACATTATTACTCAAAAACGCAACTACTTGTGGTGTTTCCGTGCTGAGCATTGTGGCCAATCACGGAGATGTATGTTAAGCGCATTAACATAGTGGCCAATCAGAGGCGTTTTAGAGTCAACAAGAGGAGAGTTCACCCCAATGTATGTTCAGAATCAGCACAAGCTTTATCCTTTCGCAAACCCCCTCATAAACCGAGTCTAGACGCTAGGATCACTGCAGTGCGGACAACTGCGGCGTTAGGACGAGAGCGCAGTAAGGAAGTGATGGCTTAACGGGAGCGCTGTTGACAGTCTATATAATAGTTGTGTTTTCTGTGCTTCTAGAGCACCAGTGGTAACGTTCACACTGTAAAATGTAAAGCGTGATAAATGCATTTAAATGTGGGAGTGAATCTGCGAAACTTGAGTCCTGTGAATGTCATGAAGATGCGATGATTGACGTAGTAACCATAGCAACATTTTGGCGTCTAATAATATTATAATTTGTTACATTTACACTTTATTCATAAGTTTTAGGGCTTGTTCGAATACCCTCTTATTGAGTAGTAATGAACACATCGAATAGTCGAAGCTTCGGAGTTTCTAAATATCTGTCTGTTCGTTTGCATTTTGATTATTTCGAGAACCGTTCATCCAAACGACTTCACAAGGAAGTGCAGTGTCAAATTTGGTGCAATATATATATATATAGACAGGCGAGACATGAAACGTTCAGAATGAATAAACTTTTAATAAACGTACTGAACGGCGCGAGCGGGAAGCGGCGCGCCTTATGAGAGCTCCGAGAAGGGACACTGCAAAACACACACACACACACACACAGGTCTGTTAACTTAAGCAACATTTTTAATAAGTTAGTCTAATATATTTTTCACTATCAAATAACTGCCAAAGTATGGTAGATTACGGCGTGCGCGCCTCACGCGAGCAGGGATTATGCTCCGAGAATGATGGACACTGCAACTTAAGCAGTATTTTTAATAAGGTATGGTCTTCTCACTGACAAATTATGGTAGATTTAAATAAACGAAATTTAAATGAATAAAAACGAAATGTAAATAAATAAAACGAAATTTAAATAAAAACAAAATGTAAAAAAATATAACATAAAAACGAAATTTAAATGAATAAAAACGAGATTTAAATAAATACAAACGATAAGAATAAAAAGAAACTAATAACTTAAATATAGAAAAACAATAAATAAATTGTGAGGTCCCAGTAAAATCTCAAAGTCTTAATTTAGATTGATAATAAAGGGTAAAAAGGATAATACGTTTTGTTTCTATTATTCTATTTTCCACAGCTCAAAATACAAGCGCAGGCCTGCACTTCTGTCCCCACACACTCTGCTGTTCTGCACTCTAGCCGGAGAATACTCCTGTTGCAGGAGCACTTTTAGTAGTCCAAGAAGAAGCAAATATATTTAAAGGTGCCCTATAATGTGAAATTGAATTTATGTTGGCATAGTTAAATAACAAGAGTTCAGTACATGGACATGACATACAGTGAGTCTCAAACATCATCGTTTTCCCAGTAAAATCTCAAAGTCTTAATTAAAAAAATTCTCAAAAAATCTCAAAAACTTAATTTAGATTGATAATAAAGGGTAAAAAGGATAATACGTTTTGTTTCTATTATTCTATTTTCCACAGTGTCAAAGCAACACAGCTCAAAATACAAAAAGTATAAAGATGCCCTATACTGTGAAATTGAATATATATTGGCATAGTTAAATAACAAGAGTTCAGTACATGGACATGACATACAGTGAGTCTCAAACATCATTGTTTTCTCCTTCTTACTTAAATCTCGTTTTTGAAAAACACCCCTGAAAAACAGGCGAATCTCCACATAATACCGACTCTGACGTAAAAGTCGGGATCATTAATATGTATGACCCAAAATATTTGCATATGCCAGCCCATGTTCAGTGATAGACGAGACGGAGCTGCGCAGCTGAAGCATGGCCGTTGATCAGTGTTCGGATGTACACATGAACACAAAAGTATTTTTAGTTCCTTCATCCGAGCCTCTGAAGAAACAATGGGTTAATTTTATTTTCTCTGGAAATTTTCAACCATTTCACCGACGACTGTTTCCTCAACTTGCCGAGAGCTGGCCTCGGACCGAGCTGATGTGTTATTGGTGTTCAAGTTCAGACAGGTAACGTTAATCTTTCACTCAAAGTCGTTCAATACTGTTTATGCATCAGTAAGTCAAGCCAGGGACTTCACATCGTTTCTTTTAGTAGGATGAAAAAATTATAATAATTGTGAATAAATTGTATACAGAAAGCGATCAATATCTTTCCACACAGCGCGAGTTTATCTGGACACTCGTAATGAATTCGTTACTCTGCACAACGAAGCTCTTGCTGTATTTACATGATCGTGTCTGCATTAGTGAAAGCAGAGAAGGCAGAAATTGCGTTGCAATGATGAGATCTTCATCCTCGCGATCGACAGGCTGTCTGTCCTCTGCTGCTCAATACTCAACACAGCAACATTTTATGTGATGGGAATAGATCTAAATACTTCAAAAACATCTCACGATTCGTTAATCTCGATAGCTGTAATGGAAAAAAAAAACTATAATAGCTGGAGTAAAATTGTTCGAAACAGTTTCACATGTAATACTTAGCTATTTTATATGCAAGCATGTCAGCCAATCACAGCAGAGGCCGGTTACACACAGCAGACACGCCCCTTCAAACAGAGTGTTCAGATCAGAGGCTAAAATCAGGCTAATAGTCTAAATTATGACTATTTTTGATCTAAAAAACATACTAACATTATAAGGGCAACCCAGGAAACATTATAAAATAATAAAAAAAAAACAGTATAGGGCACCTTTAAGTAGCTATAACGAAGTTATAGGTTAAGTATTATATTTTACCAGATTTTATAGTATAAAACATATTCAAGCGCGAATGAGAACCGTTCCCGAGTGGGATGTGTGCTAAAAACAGACAAAACAAAAAACGAATATTCAAATATCACATTTTCAAATCGAAAACTAACCCACCGAACGAATATTCGGGTCCAGCCCTAATAAGTTTACATACATCTTTCAGAATCTCCAAAATGTATTTATTTATTAGTAAGGGTTATAACATTTTTTTTTATTATTTAGTACTGCATTGAAAAAGCTTTTTCACACAACAGACAAAATACAAACACAAAATACTTGATTTTAACTGAGGCTGCGTTTACACGGAAACGACTCTGAAGAGAAAAAGCAAAAGTGGCGTTGCGTCATCACTTATTCTGCGTTTAGACGAGCGTCAACAATACGCAGATGATCAGTCATTCAGCGCGGTGTGACCATACTGTCTATGGGTGTGGCAAGCAATGACGTGTCACCATGGAAACCATAAAGGGAGACGATCTAAATAACGGGCGCCTCTAAAAACTTTTAAATTTACGTGTGAAAAGGTTAAGTAAGGCTTACATTTTTAAATGCGTCCTCGTTTTGTTTTGAGTTTATGCTCGATAAATAAAGGAACTAATAGAGTTGGGCACAAAATTACCACATTTTGTCTCGTTTGTCACGCCCAGTGTTGTTGGGTGTAACTAATTACTAAGTAATTAGTTACTGTAATTTAATTACTTTTCCCTTGAAAAAGTAAAGTAAGGGATTACTCTTCATTTATCTGTAATTTAATTACAGTTACTTCTAATGTACTTGAGGTAAATACTGTGTATAGATCAATCCGATCTCACAGCGATTCGCATGCATTTTATGAGGAATCTAAATGGCACTCGTACAAATTCGTATGAATTATTGTAAAATATCTATGGAAAAAGTGTGAAATGTCATGAGATCAGACATAAAACAATAGTGGGTTTAACATCGAAATATATTGTCTGATGTTGAAAGGTATGTTTTTATAATGTAACCTTCTCCACCTTGGTCAGTTTAAGGATAATTCATGCAATTTTTTAGTATTTATTTGAAGGAATTAAAACTGATGTCTATCCTTGTATTATTCAGCTGGTTGAGATTGATATGGGATTTTGAAAGTAATTAAAAGTAATAAGATGCTTTTAAGAGAGAGTAATTAGTATAGAAATCTAATTACACTGTTGAAGAGGTAATTAGTAACTAGTAATTAATTACTTTTTTAGAGTAACTTACCCAACACTGGTCACGCCCCACCTGTCATGTTTCTATTCCCCGCCAGTAGGGCGCGCCCCACACTTTGAGAAACGCTACAGTACACACACATATTTTGTAAAGACAAACTTTTATTTTGGATGTGATTAATCGTCGCACAGCCCTACTGTCAACTCTTTCCTGTTTAAGTCATGTTAACTTTTGTGTTTGTCCTTTAGTATTAAAGACGAACCAGGGAAGTGCTAGTTTTGGATTAGTTCTTGGGAATCGCGCGGCACAGAACGACTCGGCTCTTTCTCCATCAGATAAACAGGTAGCGCAGCATCACGAGCCCTCAAACACTCTTCAACTCTTCTCCAGACGTCACATGACTGAGCTGTTGTGTGTTCCAGACCCCCCCGAGGCGTCCCAGCCTGGACAGCAGAGAGGACGGCACCCCCCGAAAGCCCCTCGCGAGCCCCAGCCGGGCCACAGCCACGCCGGGCCGGACCGGGCTCTCCGAGAACAGGTGCGCACATGTGATGCCTCTAGCAGCGCTGCCCTCGATTACTGATTTTCGTTTATCGAAATTTAAAAATATTACTGTTATTGTGTCATGAAATGTCATTTTAAGAGTGTTTTAGTCGAGAATGTAGTTGTTTAAAGCTCAAATATGTGGTTGATTTACTATCTAAGTACTTTCTATCTTTTATCTACTATGTAAGCTAACTAAAAAACACTAAGAACGAGAAATGTTTAAATTTACAATCTACAGCTTCGTTTATATACTAGTATATGAAACAAGTTAAAATACGTTAATGACTCCTTATAACGTACTTCAAACGTCTCTTATAATAAAGTGATTTTCTCTAATTTGTAACCAGGCACTAAAGCAATTACCCATAAAACTAGCTTTGAACCAATCGGATCGCTTGGGTCCTAAGGTGGGACCCATCTCTTCACCACACCGTCGCGTAGCGTCGAATTTCTTAATGTTTTGCCGACGAAAGGAGAGCCGTGGAAAGCCGCTTCGCCATGCGCTTCATTGTTTTGATTTCGTCATTGTAGCTGAAATGACGGATTGGGGGGTTTGCTTCCCTTGTCTGCATTTTCACCAGACTCTTCTCCCACACAAAAACAGAATTTCAAACCAAATATGTCAAATTCCACGAAATTCATCGTTAATTTGCCAATTCCGTCCGCGATTCCATGATCACAGAAATCATAGGGCCCTAGAGGACGGATTCGAAGAGGGAATTCGTCGGAATAAGACGAGAGTCGATATCGGGAAGCTTTCAACAAACGGAGAGATCTCCGGTCGGCTCTAGGGCTCAAACGGGTCCTATACACAGTAATAGTGTTACACGGTGCACCGATACTTCAAAAGTATCGCGATACTCGGAAATTAAAAACCTCACGATACCTAAATTTATTAGTATACTTAGAAAGAAAGAAGAGAAATACTTTAGAAAGAAATGCTTTCCTTTTCAGGAAAAGTATCGAAAAAGTGTCGAAATCGCAATACTTGACTTGGTATCGGTATCGAAACAATAATTTTGGTATCGTGACAACACTACACAGTAATAACTTATATTGTTCATAAACAGGTTTCAATTATAATACAATCATACGTGGATACAGTAAGCACATAAAACAGTTCAACATGGAGAGAGATGGAAACAAAAACCGAAGTTTTCTTCTACCCGTGTTTTCCCCTCTCACACACACAAAGTGTGTAATTTACTGAAATACCTTTCCTTTCATATATTTTAAATGGCTTTATTACCTCATTATGAATGTAACAAAAGATGTGTGCGGCTGATGCTCCTTTGCTTATTCAGCTCGTGCAAGCGTGCGTGTGTGTGGTCCATGAGCGTGCACACGTCTGGTTGCAGTTTCGCTTGTCGCCAGAGGGGGTGTAGTTCTGCAAAATCTCAAGACTTGCACAATGCACCTTTAACAAGCCATAAATCATGATAATGCACCTTTAATTGTCTATATAATCGAGCTACATGATATTCAATAAATAATGTGATAATGCTTAAAGTGTGTTAAACTTAATTATCTTTAAAATATATTTAAAATGATATAACCTACATGCATGTTTCACATTTTTATGTGTTTACATCTTCTGGCAGTGCTTTACTGAAGTGTTATTAACATCAGTGTAAAGCGCAGGTTCAGGTTATCCTACATTAGGAAACTCAATAACCAAATGTGAAAATAAAACCCTGCTTAGTTTGTTACTGGATTAAATATGTACTGATTCTTATTAAAGCTACAAAAGTTATTCGGCTGAGTGATTTTCGTTATTGCAAGCCGTTGCGATATGCAAATTGCAATTTATACATTGAAACACTATATATATATATTCATCACAGATTCCAACACACAGCTTGCCACAGCGCACAGGTGAAAGTAATGATTATGAATGTGTCGTGAAAAACAAAATCAGAATGGGACTCGGACAAGCTATTGAAATGTTAATATGCTCAGGCCATGTTTGCAATGCTTTTAGATGTGGGTTCAGTGTCTCTAGAAAGTGCATCAATTCACTTTTATTTGTGTAGCGCTTTTCACAATGCATTACAATCTAGAGTGATCAGAGGAGACTTATGTATTTTAGATATTTACATATGCAAATTCACAGTTCGTGAAAAATTTATTAATCTAAACAATATGATCATTAAAGGCATAAATGATGAGCTCATTGAAGTAATGAATACTTTAGATTATGTTTATGACATTTAGAAAATATCTACATGTTAACAGAGTTTGCTTGAAGTTGTGTTATTTTGAGGAGCATGTTGATAGCCTTGACCCGCTGTCCTGTAGGAGTGAGAAGAGGAAGCGGCTGATGACCTCTGACGGAGATCTGGCCGAGGACTATCCCAAAGAGAACGACTCCTCTAGGTACGAGTGTGTGTTCACACTACTGTGCAGACGTTTAGGGGTTAGCGAAGCCGATCTGGTTCATCACGCAAACGTGCACGCGCTACAAGACTTGATGATCACACACTGCAAGCTAATATTAAAGCAGTGGCTCCCAAAAAAAACACTGAGTCTTGCCCAGGACACTTGAGGTCAGGAACTGAATACTTCTTATAAAATGAATTTTGATTCTTCTGTGAGCATTTCAATATGATGTGGCAGGCGTGATGAGTAATTATATAGTGCAGCTCTTAAAGTGACGGTAGCCTAATATTCCTGCAGCCGTCTCTATAATAACACCAGTCAAACAACAAGAGACAGAAAACTCACTCGTTCTCCCCTGAATAACTTCTGTAACTGCACTTTATGACTAAAATATTTTTTTAAAATAGTGTTACTTTTACATTTGATCACGGTTTCTCTCCCTGAATACATGAAAATCGTTAAACTATTTGGTTCAAACATATTTTTGTTCAGTTTTATCTGTTCATTGCGATTGCTATTTTTTACTAGTGTTTACTTAATAATGTGTTTTCATAATGCTTGATATTAACCCTCTGGGGTTGTTCGTTTCAGAGTCACACTTGGGGTGTTCGGGTCCAAATGGATTCATATTTAAAATATTCATATTTAAAAAAAAAAAATCATGATTTAAAAACCAAAAAAAATCATTATAATTAGATAAAAAAAAAATATATATATATATATATATATATAAATTAGTATTAATGCAACAATTATGACAAACCCCCCCCCCCCCCCCCATTGAACATAATAGAAAAAAATATATTTTTTTAAAATATATATATATATATATTTTAAAGCTGTATTTCATTTTAGAGTCAAGCCTGGGCCTCATAAAAGCAATTTTTGAAATGAGATTGATGCCATCTGGTGGACAAACTGAGCATTTTAAAAATGCAAAACACATGTATAATCTGAATTTTTTTTGTGTGTTTGTGTATAAAAGTGTGTTTTTGTGTGTCTGGATGTGTCTGTTTTGCACTCTTGATGTTTTATAGATTCACCCCTTCACTGTTGTTCACTGTGCTTTTTTTTCAAGATCGTGGCTGATTTGTAGATTGTACGCACAAAAAAACTCAGTATTTTCACATTTTTGCCAATTTTCCATGCGGGTCCATTTGGACCCGAACACCCCAAGTGTGACTAATATTTTTTTACAACCACTTAGACTATTCACATCCTGTCCCCAACAAAGTCACCAAATTTCGGACCATTCCGGGGAAGCTGTGATTTTTATAAAAAAAAAAATGTATTTAAATTCTTAGGGCTAGTTGTTTTTACCGTGTTTATGATCAAATGCAGACTTGGTGAACATTTTTTTCCCCTAAACATTAAAAATGTTTTGTACTTAAATGAGAACTTCATTTGTCTGTTTTTTAGCAACAATAAGGCCATCACAGACGCGTCTAGGAAGTTCCTGCTCAGCTGCAAAGAGAAGCTCAAGCAGTCGGAGGAGAACCGAGCGTCGGGTTAGTGCTTGTGTGTTATCTGTGTACGCTTCTCAACCCTGATTTGTCACACTTAATCCCTGCTGTGTTTCCTCAGCTCCACACACTCCTGCTCCTCTTCAGCCAACGTCCTTCTATGGGGGCCGATCAGGGAGTAAAGACTACACACAGACACACTCGTTTCTGGACAGGTAAAGAGCCCGGGACTCTGTGGTGTTGGAAAATGGATTCATGATCTATTCGCTCATTTTATAATTCGATATGCTTAACCCCCTTTCATATTCACGTTCATCAAGAACACCAGACGCCCAGATTGATCCGTTTCTGTTGACGATGTTCCCAGCTGATAAACACTCGCGCACACTCCACTCTGACCGATGTGCGGGTTTGGTGTGTTTCATGATTTTTGTCTCCAACTGAGTGTTTTCGTCAACGGGCCTTTTCCCGCCATTGATCTAAATGATCTAACAAAAAAAACCGCGTCCGTTACGTCATCATGTCCCGCGCGCCTCTTCACACCTCCAAAAATCAACAGGTTTTTTTACACCGGGTTCACACCGGACGCTGAAGCGACTCGGAACGGAAAATCACGCTGCGCCTGTCTGTTCAGCCCTGATGCGTATTCCTCACGTAGGTCGACAAGCGCTTCTGCTCGGTTGTTGTTTATTCAGAGCAATTTTTTTTTTTACATCATGGTTAGTTAAATAACCTCATAATATACACCATATATCTGTGTAACCAAGAAGTTTAAACACTTTTTTTTTTTTTTTTATTAATCCGTTGTCGAGACACACGCAGCCCGAGAGATAATAGGCAGACAGTTATAGTAGTGTATATATAGGCTACTGTTGAAATATACATCCTCTCTTCAAATTTATGAAATCTATTTTCATCTTCCATTTTCACTTCTCAACGTTGTTTCCCTTTTTGATTGCGTGTTCGCATTTGTCACTCGCGGTATTTTATATTTGAAAATTGCTTATATTTTGACAATTTACCGGATGGTTGAGTGTTTCTTGGTGTAACTTCCTTCCGGAATTGACGCGGATTACTCGCGGCTCGTGGAAAAAATAGACCAGACGCCGAAACTGGCGCTTCACGCCCGTTTCACACATACTCCGTTTGCAGTGCGTATGCGTTGAGTGTTGCGGTGCGTATCCAGTACAGGAGCCGCACGCGCTAAAGTGCTTTCACATATGCTGCGTTTGCAGTGCGTGAGCTGTACCACAAACACTCGCTATTTTTATTTCAAAATCAGAAGTTATGCAGCAATAGCGTGACCAGTGACCAACAGTCCTGTTATCCCAGTCCTGTTTTCACGTCCTGTCCTGGCCGTTTTTTATAAAGTGATGCCCTGGTTTTCCAAAAAAATAAAAAACCGCTGGAAAAGATCAGCTTTACAGCAAAATATAGGAGATAAGCAAACAAGGAGGATGAGGAAGAAAAACAGGATGAAGAGGAAGAAAACTAGTTCGTTTTTGCACGTTTGTGAGAGGTATTTTTGTTCAATTTGAAGGTATTTCTTTTAGTTAATTAATATTTATATATTTATTTTTCTAATACAGAAGAGACATTATTTTTTTATCATTATTTCATTCATTATTTTTTAAACCAACCTGTCATAATAAAACATGTTGAGTATCCTCTGAGAAGCCTATCTGAATTTGTGTCTTAATACAACAATTTTCTATCCACAGAGGGGGCATAGCCTATTTTAATTGTATTGAAATTAATAAGGCATCTTTGAGTAAACTTCGAGTATCATTTGTTTTCTGGGCCATGTGTCCTGGTTTTTGGTAATCAAAATATGTTCACCATATGCAGCAACTTTTATTAAAATAAAAGTTTTGCCATGGCTTTGCGATTCTCTTTTACAAACTTGAATGGACGGATGCTCGTTTAAACACGATTTAAACAACGAATGCATACAATTCCATGCATTACTTGTATATTAAGATGTCTTAAAGTAAAAATATGAAACAATTAAATACCTTTATGGAGAGATTACTACATTTTATTGAATTAAATGCATTTATAGTGAAACTACTACATTTCAAGGTCAATCTGAGTTCATTTTGACCACGAACCGTGCGCTGTCACTTTATTTCTGCGTTTGCAGCACAGCAGAAATAGACTCTGTACGGAAACGATCTCTGCACTGCTGTATACGCACCACAACTGGAACGGATCGACGCACTGCATCCGCGTGCAGTCACAGTGTGAAAGCTCTAACCTGTTAACATGGGTACGGGAAAAAATACGGACCGCATACGCACTGCAAACGGAGTATGTGTGAAACGGGCGTCACGGCGCGGGCTGGCTGCGCCTCGCCGCGTCGCTCCGCATCTGGTGTGAAAGACACCATAAGTTAACATGCGCGCGAAAGGAAGCGGCCTCCATTCCGCGTTGCTTCAGTGTCCGGTGTGAACCCGGCGTTACATTCAACGAATATTCACATTTATTTGACAGCCTAAAGGCCCGTACACACCGGGACGAATATCAGCGCGCGTTATTCGTCAGCGTTTTTCAACGCGTTTTTTGTGTTCACACCCAAGCGTTTTCCGCTGACGATGAGTCGAGTGAACATGCATATTCATTCCCTGACATTAGATGGCGCTTAATGTAAAAGAGAAATAATAATAGAATACTATACTAGGGTGATCGTATCCATGTCTCAATGTTTTATTATGACAGATAGAAAAAACGGATGAAATAATGATAGAAATAATGTCTTCTGTATTAGAAAAAAAAGAATATATAAATAATAAATAACTAAAAGAAAAGTGTGTGCTCAAGACCGTTTTGTGTTTGAGCGCCCTCAAGTTGTGTTCTACTGTAACTTCAGAAGTACCAGACACGTGAGCAAACCCGCCGATCTCGTTGGTTGGATAGGTTTTGACGCGGCGCGTCAAATCAAAAAAACGAACCTGAGGCGTTTTTTAAAAAATGCCGCTTTTACGCGTGGCGTTTTTCGCGTCGGTGTGAACACTCACATTGGCGCCCATTGTTTAGTCACGAGGCGTTAAACGTCGACGAATAACGCGCGCGAAATTCGTCCCGGTGTGAACAGGCCTCTACTGTGCACTTTCTATCTACAGCATCACAGCCATAACGTACATGTGATCAAAGATCAAGCAGAATTACCAGTGCGGGCCAGTTCACACACACCAGCACAAGTCATCAGTTGATCAGTTTGAGTCCTGTGCTGAGTTCATCAGAGCGGTCCACGACTCCAACCAAGAACTGTTGATTCGTCTTGACTAAAATCAGCGCATGACTGAACGTTTCGTGATCTGACCCTGTGCTCCTGAATCTCCATTTGCAGGCCCAGCAGTGCAGGCCAGTGTCCATCTGCCAAAAGAAGCCTGATGTTACCCAATCACTCCACTCCCTTTAAAAAGGTGCGCCCGACTCTGGACTACGGCGGCTGGAACAAGCCCAGGCCGTCCGCTCTGGCTCAGCCTCAGCCGCCTCTGCAAGGGTGAGTGTCGGACACGGTTCCCCAACACTTTTCATGTTTTTCAGTTGATTTTCCCCAAAAATATATCAGTTATGGTGTAATCGAACAGGTTAGGATGCTTCTGATTCTTTAGAAAAGCAGATTATTTCGTCCGCACGCTGCTGCAGCTCCTCGATTCCCGGTCCGTCTGGAGGCCGAGACCGCTCTGATCTGACATGCCTGTTGTTTGCTTCTCCTGTAGATTCTCCAATCTGGGCAACACCTGCTATATGAACGCCATCCTGCAGTCCCTCTTCAGCCTGCCCTCGTTCTCCAACGACCTGTTGAAGCAGGGCATCCCGTGGAAGAGGGTCCCCGTCAACGCCCTCCTGAAGTACGGCGCGCTGCGGCTCTTAACTAACCCCTCATTTCACACACTCCTGAAAATCCTCTTAAAGATAGGGCTGCACGATTGGTCACGCTGAAACGGCACATGATTTGTGATGTGTAGTTTGTCTGTTTAGCTGTATCTGAATAAACAGAAGATCGAAGCGCTTTGATTAAATGCACGACTGCCTTATTCTGTGTGTGAAGCGCATCATCTCCCAGGAGGACGAACTCCACTGTCCTTATGAAGTGAGTTTAGGGTAAGTAAGGGTTAATGCCCGACGAGTGCGCGTCGGCCGGTTCACGCCTCGCCGTCGTCCATTAAAACCTGACAATGGACACCTCGAAGGGCATTAACCCGCTTATACCATGGTCACTTGCCAAATAAAACATTTTTAAAACATTAGCTGCTAGTTTATATTTTAATTCGGCTAAATCTAGTTTTTACAAATAATAACTCGCCTGGTTTTTTTAGCAACCGGAGATATTTATAGTCCGCTCAGCTTGTTGAATCCTTCAGGTTCAAAAATGCTTTTTTTTTTTCATGAAACACAAAGGTAGGCATAGTTATTTTTTTTTTAATTACACATAAAACAATTAATCAAACAGGCTTCTTAGGCTTGAAACGCTGTACTCTCCTCCTGCCTTGGTTGTCTGGACTGCTGCGTAAAACTCCCGCAGGGTCTCATTCAGAGCAACAGCGGTGTAATTTCCTTTATGACGTTTCTCCGTTTTATTTACATTTTTTCTTTCTTCAGCAGCGTCCCAGTCGTCAAAGTTGTCATATTCTCCATAAATGTTAAAAGAAATAACGAAGTCGCTCATTGTTGTATTAGTAGGCTGTGTAATATCTAACTAACGTTAGATGTTTGTTTTGATAGAGCAAATTGTTAACGGGTACTTTGACTGCCTGTTGCTATGGTTACTCACAGCTGTTGTTGGCAGCGCATTTATTTATTCATTTCGAATGGTAAACAGGCATTTCACCAGAACTACTTTACTAGGTGTCGTCTATCACTTTTTAACGGACACCCTGCAGCCAATCAGAATAGAGTATTCACCCAGACCATGGTATAAAGGATGTTATTAAACATCATTTGTTGGTTTATAAATGCGCCTCGTGTTTGGAGAGATGTTTGACGCGAGGTAATAAGCGAGTCGCAGTGCTGTCGGAGTGAGCCGTGCTTCACTGACAAGCTGCGCATAAACGCTCACAGCACAGCCATCCCATAATCACTATAAGCCAGATTCGTTTAAGTGTGAGTAATCGTGCAGCCCTGGTCCAAACTGAAAACTGTTTATACTGTCTTAACAAGCTTGCTGACGTCTTGCTCTCGTCCTCATGAAGGCGTTTTGCTCTTCTGCTGGCGAAGAAAGACGTGTCTCCTCCAGACGTGAAGAAAGATCTCCTGCGGCGAGTGAAGAGCGCCATCTCCTCCACAGCGGAGCGCTTCTCCGGGTACATGCAGAACGTAAGACACCTCACACCTCCATTCTGCTGCGTCTGACCTCTGACACCTAACCTAAACATAAGTCCTTAACCGAACCGTAATGATGCACCATTTTTCATGATCACCATTCCCGCCATTTTTCACGTTAGCAACGCAGTCACACCGCGCTGATCTGGATAAACTAACAGCGCGTCATGTCTCGTGACACACCAATCATGCGCGGTTTTAGCATTCGAATGTGCATTAAACTATATGTATATTAGGGGTGTAACGGTTCACAAAATTCACGGTTCGGTTCGTTACGATACACTTAAGTCACGGTTCGGTTCGGTACGTTTCAAATACAGCAAAAAGAAAGAAATAGCAGAGAAATTTCTTTGATTTAACTTTTTTAATTATATTTTTATTAAAACTAACATACAAAGTATGATATTTTTTAACTTTGAGCTATACTTGACTCTTCTTAGGAGCATTTAAAACAAAACAGCTCCTTGGACAAAATGAAATGTTATATTGTAGTAGCCAATGGTGTGTGTTTCCCAGGATGCCCATGAGTTCCTGAGCCAGTGTCTGGACCAGCTGAAGGAGGACGTGGAGAAGGTGAACAAGAGCTGCAAGAGCGAGCCGTGGGCCTGGGACGAGCCTCAGAGCGCGCGGCTGGCGGAGGAGGCGGAGCCGTCGCGCGTCTACACCTGCCCCGTCACCGTCAACATGGAGTTCGAGGTGCAGCACACCATCACGTGCAAGAGGTGCGTCCACCGTACATCACTCATAAACTAGATCTGACAGGGTTCCCAGGGGTCCTTGAAAATTTGTGAATGTGAAATAAATAAATTAATCAAGGCTCTGGAAAGTTTTGGAGAATAAACACGCAGAGGAACGGATCCTAGAAAGTGCTTGTATCTGTTCTGTGTAATTATTTTTCCCTCTGTTGGGATGAGTATACTTCGCCATCGCTTTGTGGCCTATGAGCGCTAGCTTGCTTGATATGCTAGTTATGTGCGTTAAAGGATTAGTTCACTTTTGAAAAAACTTTTGCTGATAATTTACTCACCCCCATGTCATCCAAGATGTCCATGTCTTTCTGTCCTCAGTCGAAAAGAAATTAAGGTTTTTGATGAAAACATTCCAGGATTTTTCTCCATATAATGGACTTCAATGGGAACCAGATGGTTCAGGTCCAAAAGACAGTTAATAACAGTTTCAGATGCAGCTTCAAATGTCTTTAAACGACACCAGACGATGAATAAGGGTCTTATCATGCGAAACGATCGGTTATTTCAAAGCTTATTCCAAAAATGTAACTTTTCTAAGGACAAATGCTAGCCTTGCTATATTGTCTGAGGCGCGTTTGTAACGTCACGTAATACGTAATTACGTTCAAAAGGTCACGGGCGACGTAGCCGGAAGTACAGAATCAAAATCGTCCGACATCGTTGTTTTACCTTTTAATTCCTTTTTTTGTAAACGGCGTTTGGGTTAGTTTGCACGTTCAACCTATGCGTTCAACTTGTAAACACTGACTCTGTACTTCCGGCTACGTCGCCCGTGACCTTTTGAACATAATTACGTATTACGTGACGTTACAAACGCGCCTCACAGAATAGAGCAAGGCTAGCATTTGTCCTTAGAAAAGTTACATTTTTGGAATAAGTTTTGAAATAACCGATCGTTTCGCATGATAAGACCCTTATTCACACATTCACAATTTAACAAAAAGAAATCAAACGACATTTAGAACAGACAAAAATGTTAACTATGACATTAATGCGATTAATCGCGATTAAATATTTTAATCGTTTGACAGCACTAATTTTAATAGAATGTCCTTTTTTTATTATTATATTAGACAACGTTTTTATTCAGAAAAATATATTAATGGACATTTTTAAATAGGTTTAACCTGTTTTGTTTTTTTTTGTTTTTTTTTTACTTTCTGGCAAATTTGAAATTGAGAGACTGTAAATGTTGTTGCTATTGGTATATACTGTATGTCTGATTTTGTATATTGCTTGATTTAAAGAAAATTCAGTTATTGTAAACAATGCTTTGAATTGTAATCATAATTAATTATTTTTAAAATTGAAATCCTGTTGATTGGCATGAATATAGCATATACTGCTGGGATAGTGTTAATCCTAACTGCATGTGTCCCTCGGGTGCGCAGCTGTGGAGAAGCGGTGACGAAGCGTGAGCAGTTCAACGATCTGTCCATCGACCTCCCTCGACGCAAGAAGACGCTCCCGCTGAGATCCATCCAGGACTCGCTCGACCTCTTCTTCAGGGTGAGCCACCGCACACACACACACACACACACACACACCTGTTCACACCACACTGACCAACACATGCCCAGAGCTGATTTTGAATTTGTGGTTTTCATATCTGTAATCTATAATCATCAAAATTATAACAAATAAAGGCTTGAAATATCTCACTTTGCATGTAATGAGTCTATATAATAGATCAGTTCACCTTTAAGCTGAATTACTGAAGTGTTTGGAAGTTATGTGAAAATAGTGCGTGTCATATGTAGCCTACGGCGTTAAATTGCTTATTGGATGCGTGTAAAAGGTAATTTATGTGTATGAAGAGCACGCACAGCTCGGTCGGACCCTTTGGGTACAATTATTCCAGTTAATATAACTTCTTCATTATGCTGATAAGATGTAGTCTTCGTCTTTTTAATGCGTTAAAAGCATTAATATAATTCCTAAATGGTTCTTAGGTTGTTTTATCTGGTGCCAGAATATGATGTGCAGTTTACCAAAACACACACAAATATGTATGTTGCCTATTCCTGTTGTCGAAGATTGAGTGGAAGTGTATTTACTGAACGAGATTGATCAGTTGTTTTCTTTAGAGAACAGTTATCGCCCAAAGAGAACTCTGCAAACACACATTCATATCCACACCCCATATGAAAGTGACCTTTGCATCTGATGACCCCTTTAAGTCCATCAACTGTTAAACCCTTGTGTGTCACTTCTACTGAATGTTTTCCTGAAAGCTTTTTTATTTCCCCGCTGCTGTAACGCGCGACTGACGATCAGCGCGGGTTTGACCTCTGTGTGGATATTGAGCTCTAGTTCACTTGGTGGCACTTTCATCACCTTCTGACTTTGTGTTTTCCAGATGGAGGAGATCGAGTATTCCTGTGAGAAATGCAGTGGAAAAGCAGCGACCGTCTCTCACAAATTCAGCCGGCTCCCCAGGTTGGGATTAACACACACACACACGTGCACTTTAGCAGCTTTGAATTGTGGGACTGTTGAAAATACACATTTGACAGGGTTCGTACAAGGCGCTTGAATTTGACTTTGAAAGTGAAGACCTTGGGAAAACAGCCATATTCATGAAGAGTGCTTGAATTATTGAGAGATAATATGCGATCTTTTCAAGCAAAATCAACGCAGCAGCCGTCTGACACAGATATAGAGCCGTTTCGCATGGATATGACCGCCATATTGCTCGTAAATATCCAAGTATATGATGCGTATTTCATTCTTCTTGTCAATTAGGGCTGGGCGATATGCCCAAAAAATCATATCATCTCTTTTTTTTTGGTTAAATGGCGGTACTTTCTACGTTAAAATAAGTACCCTTAAAATCCTCCGTTTTTTTTATTTACATTAGGGATGCACCGATATGAAAATTTTGGCCGATACCGATAACCAATAATTATTTATATTTGAAAGCCGATAACCGATATATCGGCCGATATCGTACTATATATCGATTATATCATACAAACTCGATATACAGCCCAGCCCTATTGTCAATCATTTATTAATGGGAGGGAATCAGTTTGAATAAGTAATATCGGTCATGGTGTCTCTGTGATTAAAGTTACCGCAGTCATTGCTTCTGCTGCACTGTATTCGACCATTTTTAGGGCCCTATAATTTCAGATGGAATTTCAATTGTCAAATTAACAATGAATTTCGTGGAATTTGGCATTTTTGGATTGAAATTCTGTTTTTGTGTGGGAGAAGAGCGTATGTCTGGTGAAAATGCAAATCTGGGCGGCACAGCAAAGAAAAAGAAAATAAAAAAAAGTAAAAGTAAAACTGATTTCAAAGGACCCTACATTTTGTTTTGTTGGTTTATTCACCTTTTCCAGAATCTGAAGGTGATAAAGATATTGTTTGATTAGTGAGATCTCTGACTATCGTCATTGAAAACCCCAAAAGTGGTGCTTGAGAAGTCCTGGATGTGGTTTGTCAGCATGTGTGTGTGTGTGTGTGTGTGTGCAGGGTGCTGATCCTCCACCTGAAGCGCTACAGCTACAACACTCAGCTGTCCCTGAACAGCAAGCTGGGCCAGCAGGTGTTGATCCCCAGACACCTGACGCTGCTGTCCCACTGCACCGATGCCACGCGGCCCCCCCTCAGCCTCGGCTGGAGCGCGCAGGCCGCCCTGTAAGCACACCCGGACCCAAACACACACATCACTGCTGTACCTAACAATATTACTCATGTTGGATATTTATTAGGGGTGTAACGATTCGATTCACATCATGATACGATATTATTGCGCTACTCCCAAGATGTCCTGATGATTAAAATGCTAAAATTTGGTGTTACGTTGTGTGTGTGTAAATGAATATTCTTGGACTCGGTGCTGAAACCCAACGCACAGGACAAATAGAAACACCAGAATAACAATATTCATGATTCTGAAGATGAAAACACTGAATTATTGTAGATAAATATGAACATGATCAGGACACACACTGCATTATTATACGCTATATTTATCATTATACACTAGTTTACTGTTGATCTGACACTTAAACTCGATATATGGTTACACCCCTATAAATCAGTCAAATACAAAGCTATGCATAAAAGACAGATATACAGATCAAACACACAGTCACATCACTGATCTGAGCTTTACAGAAGCCGCCCTCACACTCGCTAACGTTGGCTCGTTTCCTTTCAGCTCCAGGACCCTGAAGACGTCGCAGTCCGTCAACTCCTCGACACTACGGTGGGTGAGAACGGCCCTCTGCTGGTGAAGGGCATGCTGGGGGACATTTAGGGCTGACGATTGTTTTAGTCATCGAGTATTTCATCCATTAATCATATAAACTCACATTTTGAATATTGTGCAAAAGTTCACTTATTTCACTAATTCAACTTAGAAGGTGAAACTGATGTTAGTGAGATATTTCAAGCCTTTATTTGTTATAATGTTGATTATGGATTATAGCTTATGAAAACGCCAACTTCAAAATTGTAATATTGTGAAAAGGTTTTCATAAGCTGTAATCCATAATCAACAACATTGTGACAAATAAAGGCTTGAAATATGGCACTTTGCGAAGGACTCAGTATGAAGGACTAAAAATGACAAAAGGAAAAATAAATAAATAAAGTAGAAATGAATAAATAAATGCAGAAATATAGTGAAAATAAATACATTTTGGTCATATAAATGGCTATTTATGTATTTTTACATGTATTCATTTATTTACATATGTATTTATTTCTACATTTATTTTTCCCTGCGCCTGTATGCTAATTGAGTGGGGTCAGTCCAAAGTGTAGAATGCAGCCCGCTTTCCACAAATGTAGGAATACATAAATAAATAAATGTAGAAATAAATAAATAAATAGATGTAGAAATAAATGTAGAAATACATAAATAAATACATATATAAATGCATAAATAAAGAAAATACAGAAATAGCCATTTATATTACCAAAATGTATTTATTTTCACTATATTTCTGCATTTATTTATTTCTACTTTTATTGATTTATTTTTCCCTTTGTCATTTTTAGTCCTTCATATAACATTTCACCTGCTGGATTACTGAAATAAAAGAACTTTTGCACAATATTCTAATCTTTCTTGTTTCACCTGTAAAAAAAATGTGCTGATAAACAACAGCCTTTAAAATGACTGACTTATGTGCAAATATATAAGCAATAATAATTGGTTCAAATAAAGTATCAAAGTAGTCATAGTGTGTTCTTTGTGATTTTCCCAGTAGCACTGCTATATTATGGAATAGAATAGAATAGAATACAATAGAATAGATTCTATTCTATGACTTTAAATAGTCTCGTCCGGTGAACGGCTCTTCTTGTATTTTGAGTCTCGACTTCAACCGAGGAGTCATGCCAGCCCTAGTGTCGACGTGTTCACACTCGTGTGTGTGTGTGTGTTACAGGAAGGGTTCTGTGAAGCCCGAGAGCTCGGGGAGTGTGTTGTGCGACTCGGACAGTGAGGAGGAGCTGGTCAGGAAAGTGGGTCGCAGACTTCATCCAGAGGAAGACCGGACGGAAGAGGTGAGCACATCAATTAAACATTTATGCAGAAAACTACAGTCCAACGCTGACATCATGAGGAGGGTTAGCTAGCGATTCAGTTTAGCCATTCTAATCGATTCCTAATTTTGATTTCAACAAAAAAAAAAAAAAAACAACGTAGATGATTTTCACATTTAGTCTTATTGCAAGACATTTAATTGTGGCTGAATATCATGAACAGAAATCAACTGGCTAAAGAACACTTTTAAACCTCTTGTGCTCTTCGTTTCGGAGTCACACGTTTTCTTCCCGGTCAGAAGTGACCGGACACCTAAAAATTAAATTTCCTCCATCCCAGTAAAACCAATGCAATTTATTTTTGTTCTTTAATATTTATTCTTTTTGATTCCGTATTTTGAGACAATTTGACTGAATTTATTCATATTTATGCAATATTTATGGTTTATTTTTGCCATGGAAAAAAATATATATATTTCTATATATATATATTATTTTAAAAAAAAAGTTATTAATGCAGTATTTTAGTTTAATATAGAGTCTAGGCCTTCAGAAAAAAATATTTTTTGAAGAAAATTAGCACCATCTGGTTACAGTATAGAGAAAAAGCGTAGAATCATGGCGTAACCACTAGATGGCATGTACAGCTCTCTATTGAGAGGCATGTGAATTCCCCAGCTGTTTATGAACGCATTTTTTTTTTTTTTGGTGGATTTGAATGTATAGTTGAAACAATCTCAAAAACGATTTCTTATTTAAAAAATGTAAAAAAAAAAAAATTAATTAATTAATTAAATTGCGAATTTTTGTGTTTGTCAATTTCCCATTCATTTCCTATGGGGGTCATTTTTGACCGAAGAGCACAAGTGTGACTTTTTTTTTTTTACAACCACTGAGCCTGCACGGATCATGACCTCAATTTTTTTTTGTGTGTTCACATACCCAAAACCATAAAAGTCACCAAATTTCGTAACATTCCGATGAAGCTGTGATTATTAACATTTCAAAACAGAAAATTTTTCGGTCAGAAATGACCGAAGAGCACCTGAGGGTTAAAATCACACAACTAGCCTAACTAATGTAGATGTCAAGACAAGTAAACACTCTTTACTCTTTAAATTAGCGATCGCAACAAACAGAGAAACTGTGATCAAATGTAAAATATCACTGCACTTTATACAAAATATACATCTCAAATGCAGTTTCTAAACTTATTCAGTGGAGAATGAGTGAGTTTTCTCTGGTGTTATAGAGACGGCTGCAGGAATATTAGGCTACCGTCACTTTAAGAGCTGCACTATAGTTACTCATCACTGAAAACGGCATAAAACATTACATTTCGGATGTGTGTGCAGCTCTGGAAACAGCACGAGTCGTCTCGTGATTGATTGTCGTGTTTGGTTCCCAAGGCACGAGCAAATTATAGGCTCTCTTTACGTTTTAAATGGCAGGATTTATCATTAGTTGGGGATCGGTAAAAATTTAAAAATTTATTTTGAAAAGTCTGTTCTCACCAAGCCTTTTTTTTTTATCAATAATATACATGTTTTAAAATATCATGATGAAAGCTGAATGTTCAGCATCATTACTCCAGTCTTCAGTGTCACATGACCCTTCAGAAATCACTCTAATATGAGGATCTGATGATCAAGAAACTCTTATGATTATTATTAATGTTGAAAAAACGGCTGTGCTGCTGTGAGAAACATACAGAGCTGCATGATTCTGGTTAAATCGCATATTTGTTTTGTTTAAAATAGATCTTACGATTCTCCCATGATTCTGAACAGACAACTAAACAAAATAAGATGTAATTTGCTAAAATGTTCATTGCAGCAAACAAATTAAAATGGTCAGATGACCCACTCTGCTCTGATTGGTCAGATAACCCAGTCTGCTCTGATTGGTCAGGTCAAAATCTTACTTTTCACCCCTGTTCAAATGAAATGTTTGCCCAAATGAATCTGACCGACTCTCTCTCTCTCCACAGTCTGAAAGCATGAATGACGAGGAGATGCTGGCGGCGGTGCTGGAGTTTAGTCGCCACGACACCAGCCTCCCCGCGGGCCCCGAGGACGAGCCCACCAGCAGCCCTGACACGGGCTTCGGGGACGCGGAGGGACACGAGCCCGCGCAGCACCTGGACCTGCTGGAGCCGGAGAAGCCGCCCGCGGGTAAACCCCGACTCACGCTCGAGTTCACTGCAGTTTCCTCCGCTCTGGAGCTCTGCCACTGTCGCCATTGGCTTCTGTTTTGCTTAGTTGGGGGATTTAATCTAATAATCAACAATATTATTGATCTGTCTGCATTTACACCGTTATTTGAGAACTGAGGTGGACTGAGTTATATAAACAACGTAACTTAATAAAAAAATGTACCATCACTGAAGTTGTGACTTTTGCTGTTATCTCTGGAAACACTGTAGTGTAATGGTGCTGTATAAATAAAGGTGACCAGTAGACTACATGAGCACATGTTGTGTTGTGTGTAGATGCTCTGGAGTCTCTGGATCTGACCATGGATGAGAACAAGGAGAACGAGACGCCCGAGGGAGCCCCGGGCGAGCTGGACTGGGTGCAGCAGTTCAGTCTGGAGCAGGAGCGTGAGGAGCAGGAGCTGCAGCAGGCGCTCGCCCAGAGCCTGCAGGAACACGTGAGGCACACACACACACACACACACTCGTCTTAAGAGTCAGGAACCCAAGGGGTCTAAATAGGGCTTTAGTAAAAGAACTCTTTATGGCTGTCAAAATGGCTGAAAAGCTCAATTCCAGTTCAGTGATTCTCAAACGACTCGTCAGATGAATCAATCTCTCTAAAATCCTCCTTTCCACAAGCTACTCTGCTCTGATTGGTCAGATGGCCCAGTCTACTCAGCTCTGATTGGTCATATGGCTCAGTCTGCTCTGCTCTGATTGGTCAGATGGCTCAGTCTACTCAGCTCTGATTGGTCTGATGGCCTTGCTCATTATATCTGTATCTCAGCTATTGATACATAATCACAGCATTTAGTCAGTGATATGATCAGTAACGATGGCGTTCATGTCAAGAAAACAGCGTCTTCTCGACATGAACAACACGAACCAAACTCTTCCAGTCTCCGACATACACCACAGTGTTTGAGGGTCAAAGTAGACGTTGTTCACCAGCGGCCGATGAAGACCATAGACTGGCATTATACAAATGTTACACAGATGCGTAGATTCGGCAGGAAGAGAGACTGGAATTACTGGCGACTCGTTTCAGAATCACTTCCTTATTAATCTCCACTGTGATGTTTGAAACTATCCACAAACAGCTTTAGCTCACACTACAGGAAAGGAGTTATCTGAAACAGCATAATGGGGCACTTTTACTTGGATGTTTTGTTCTTTTCTCTTTTGTTTTGTGGGGTAAATGGCACAGACATGTTTAGTTTTTCAGCACAATCTTCTTACCAGCTGTAACTCCAGTGTTGCGTCAGCGCAGCTTTAACGGATCGTGGCAATAGTTGTGTAACGAGGGGGTGTTGTGTGTTCTGTGCGCAGGAGGCGAGAGAGATGCGAGAAGATGATGACCTGAAGAGGGCCACAGAGCTCAGCTTGCAAGGTCAGCATGACACGGTGTTCTGCCTCACATGACTCGTGTGCTAATGTGAGTGTGTTTGTGTGTGACCGTGTGTGTTTCTGTTGTCGTAGAGTTCAATAACTCCCTGCCTGAGCTGCTGTGCTCCGACGACGACTCGGGCAACGAAGACGGCCTGGATATGGAGTACAGCGAGGCTGAAGCGGAGGAGCTCAAGAAGAACGCTGAGGTGCGTCTGGGTTTAATCACTCTTGAACCCTTAAACCAATCCGTGTGCTCTATAAAGTCTTGTAAAGAGGAGATTCTCGGCTTTTCAGTGGGATCGTTGGTCTCCGTTGGGCATTCAGAGGCTCCGCTGTTTGGGTCCGCATTGATTCGTCAACGAATTTGAAATTGATCATCTTAATACAAATACAGAACATGGAGAGACAGCTTTTGCTTCCTCTGGTCGAGCCAGATGTCTGTTCTGCAGACGTTATATATTGAAGGATAGCTTTAACAATATATAACACAAGTAATGAAGTGAATCTAAACAAATGAGACCTTCACAAAAAGGTGAACCGAAGTCAGCTACACTGAGACAAAGAAACACATTCAACAGATTTCAAGTGAACAACGTAACAAACTAAATGATGTCTTCAGATATGATTGACGAATCAGAGGCCTTGCAACCCTGTCACCCATTCAAGATCCAATGTACTGTAAATGATAAAATTGTAAAACCTTCGACTCGTGACCCTGAACGACCGAGACAGCCAGATTAGCTGAAACTATCATTGACTTGAACAATAAACATGTTTTGGTCTTTTACTCCACCAATTAGCATCTTTCTTTGGAAATTTGAACTGACCCGAAGGGAAAGTACTTGCGTGAGTGCATGAAATAACAGATTTGCACTCTGACGAAGTGCAAAACTGCTTTACACCTCGGATGAGGCACTGAAATTTGTTTTAAAGAGTCGCCACACAATGTAATGCTAATAGTTTGTGAAAGTGATTTGCACTGTTTGTATTTTTGTTGCACAAGACAATGTATATATGTGTGTCACTTGGCTTCAGTGTTCAATTATTATATAACAATGTTTTAATTTACTTAACTTTTTTTGGACATCTGGAAATCTAGAGTCGATATCTAAATCTAGAAGTATAACTTTCTGTTATACTTCAGGAGGTTTTGTTTGAGTTGTGAAAAAGAAATCTATTCCTAGACAAAATGAATAATTGGGGATTTAAATGAGCTAGATTGAGACTTCAAGTTGTCCTGTTTAAAATGTAAAAGCACTGGTGAGTCTCCGATGTTGCAGGTCTTGCGTGCCAGTGTTCTCCTGTAATGCTTGTGTGTGTGTGTGTGTGTGTGTGTGTCCTGTAGACCGGAGAGCTGCCCAACTCGTTCCGGCTCATCAGTGTGGTCAGCCACATCGGCAGCAGCTCCTCGTCAGGTACTGCACCTCACCCTCGTGTTGCTGCTTTGCAGAGTCCGGTGTGTGTGACTGTGTGTGTGTGTGCTCCTGTAGGGCATTACATCAGTGACGTGTACGATATGAGGAAGCAGTCGTGGCTCACCTACAACGACCTGGACGTGTCACGCACGCAGGAGTCCACCGTGCAGAGGGACCGGGACCGCAGCGGATACATCTTTTTCTACATGCACAAGTCAGTGTCATGGACGCACTCGCCAATGACTGTCATCCTAAAAATAACTATTGTGAATGCTTGAAACCACATGTACGCAATACTCGCATGCTCTTGGTGGCCTTATAATAGTTAAGATTACATTTATTGACTAAAGTCATACAACAATTTCCTTATTTGAACAGACATTTCAGATTTTCATTTAGTTTGAGCACTAAAATAACAAAAACAACTAACTAAACTAGGGCTGGGACAACAACTAACTAAACTAGGGCTAACTAAACTCACCTCGCGAACGGGCCTTCCCACCTCGCGAACGGGGCCTCCCCACCTCGCAAACCTGGCTTCCCACCTCACGAACGGGGCTTACCACCTCGCAAACCCAGCCTCCCACCTCGCAAACGTGGTTTCACACCTCTCAAACGCGGCTTCACACCTCGCAAACGTGGTTTCACACCTCGCAAACGCCGCCTCACCTCGCAAACGTGGTTTCACACCTCGCAAACGTGGTTTCACACCTCGCAAACGTGGTTTCACACCTCGCAAACGTGGTTTCACACCTCGCAAACGGCTTCTCACCTCGCAAACGCCTTCCCACCTTGCAAACGGGCCTTCCCACCTCGCGAACGGGCCTTCCCACCTCGCGAACGTGCTTCCCACCTCGCGAAATGGGCTTTCCACCTCGCAAACCCAGCCTCCCACTTCGCAAACGTGGCTTCACACCTCGCAAAAGTGGTTTCACACCTCGCAAAAGTGGTTTCACACCTCGCAAACGTGGTTTCACACCTCGCAAACGCCTTCTCACCTCGCAAACGGGGTTTCCCACCTCGCAAGCGTGGTTTCACACCTTGCAAACGTGGCTTCCCACCTCGCGAACGGGCCTTCCCACCTCGCGAACGGGCTTCCCACCTCGCTAACGGGGCCTCCCCACCTTGCGAACGTGCTTCCCACCTCGCGATTTTTGACTGGAATCATGTTTTTTTGTTGTACTGTCCCTGTATAAATAAACTTCTCATTAAAAAAATAAAGTGTGACAGGCCCTATAGCCCTAAATGTGTCCTGTGCAGATGAATGAGTGACTGAGGTAGGTGTTTGTATCTGACGTGTGTTTAGAGAGGTGTTCGAGGAGCTGTCGGAGCTGGAGAAGGCCGGAGGGAACGGTGACGCCGCACGCACAGTCCTGCAGCCGCTCTAACATCCCATAATGCCCCTGACCTGAGCCCAGGGTAAAGCCTCAGCCCTCATCAGCGCTACTGAAGACCACACACACACTCACCCCTCCTGAGGGCACTTCTCTCTCTCCCTGTGGACGCTGTAGACTTGCGTTTAGATGGATACATGTTCTAGAAACTCATAGAGGTGCAAAATGTTTATGGGGAGCAGCAAAGAAAAATAAATATATGAATATAGTTTCTCGAAAGGTGCAACTCCAGGACGGAAGGAGTTGCCGCTTAATTTTCTCTTTTGTTTGCCTTTAATATGAGAAGTCCCTTTGGTGAACTTCTCATGCATTAAATATTTGAAGCGTGTTTCTCTATGAAATCTTCTTTGTTCTTCTTTCCCCTCTGCAGATTTTTAGATTCCCTTCCTGGTCTATTGCATACAAAACTTTATTCTTGTATCTGTGTGTGTGGGATATTGAGTACGGGGGGTGTGTGTTTCTCGTTTGATATGCAGCTGGAAATGTGGTGCAATATTTGCTTTCGCCGGTCGGCTTTTATACAGCGACGAGAGAGCGGCTCGGTTTATACTCAAGGCTTCACTGATGACTGTTTGTTTTATTCTCATTTTATAAAGCGTTATTCTAACAAGCTCAATGGTATTGATGACGTAGCTTGTCTTTTTTTAAAGATGGCCCCTGACAGACCCAGTGAAGCGTTTAGTTTTCCTTCTGTTGAGCTTTATGTGGAGTTGCACAGCCGTCGTGTAGAAAAGTGTGTGTCTTCAGGAAGAAGTGAAACGTTCATACACCTTTACTGGATATAGAGAGCATGCCATGTGACTGTGTCAGCTGATGTTATTTATTTTAGGATGTCTGTAAGTCTTGTTTCCATGTGTCCGGTCACCACTTTATTCATGTCTTCTGTTGGGGTCGTCTTGAGGAGATTGTGTTTCTGAAACAACAGTGCTATAAGCTCTACTCGATTGCTTAGTAATTCAGTCTTTGGATTCCTTGAACACATTTTAAAATAAAACTGATTTAGAGAAACGAGTGCTGGTGTGTGTGTGTCACGTGTGGTGTGCGTATCTCTTGGTGAGCGGCTCGAGCCGGCTGCCCGTGAGCCTGTTGAACTCGCTGAGGACGTAGCTCTCCTTCTGCTGCATCTGTGTGTGGGACAGAGAGAAGACGTGTGTCCGTCAGGCATCACTCTTACAAACTTTATTACACACATAAGGCATTCAAAATACAAATTACTATGGATTTAATAATATATATATTAAATACAAAATTTATAATGCCTATTATTGTTCAATAAATAAGTTTTCAACTCATTACAGATACAAGTTTTTTTTTTTTAATACAAATTACAATGTATTTAATATGCTATAAATGAAATTCAAGGAGTATTTGGGAGACTTTCATGCACTATAATCTGAGATCTTCCTTATCAAACAATATCTTTAGGATATATTTTAAAACTCAGATTACAGATGCGAGACTTTGGATCACAAAGCCAGTCACGTGACGCACGGCTGTGTCTGTATATTATAGATTTTTTTTTATGCCAAAAATTATTAGTATTTAAATTAATGCCAAAAATCATTAGGATGTAAAGTAAAGATCATGTTCCATTAAGATATGTTATAAATTTCCCACCGTAAATACATAAAACATAAATTTCTGTGAGTGGATGCTGCATTATCATGAACATAAATGCACAATTTTAAAGGCGATTTTTCTATTTCATAATAGTGTTATCTCTGCCAAATATTGTCATATCCTAACAAACCATACATCAAAGGAACGCTTATTTATGTATAAATATCAGATAAAATAATTGACCCATATTCGACATTAGAGTATCGTGCGAAAGTTCATTGATTTCAGTAATTCAACTTAAAAGGTGAAACTAATATTATATAGACTCATTACATGCGAAGTGAGATATTTCAAGCCTTTTTTTGTTTTAACATTGATGATTATGGCTTACAACTTATGAAAACCTTTTCACAATATTACAATTTTGAATTTGGGGTTTTTATAGCTAAAATACAAATTACAATGCATTTAATAATATGCATTAAATAAATGAAGTTCAAGGACTTTTAAAGCACTACAATCTGAGATGTCAATTTTTTTTAAACTCAAATTAAAGATGTACGGTATCCAAAATACAATGTATTTAAATATAATGGTTATAATGTGGGTATATTTGTATCTAGTCTGATGGGTTTATCAGTGCTCATTTTGTGTGAAAAGATTGCATTTGTTTAATTTTTTTTTATTTATTTATCATATATATTTTATTTAAATCACACACTCTTCAAGTACCTCTTCACAGAGGTCATGGCTGTTTTAAAAGGACTTAAATTTCAGAAAGTCAAACTCGCACGCTGTCCGAGCAGAACTGGGGATAAGCCCGTCAAAATTCATATTTATCTTAAATATTAGCGAAGTTCTAATTACAGTCAAACCTAAATGTGTCCAAACATCTTTAACATTACTCACATTACCAGTTTAATCACTAGTTTAGAAAATAGTAGTAAAAGAAGAACTCAGAGTTCTCAGATCAGTGGATATTTGACTGGTTTAGTCCTTCTGTTCGACTCTTAAACATGAATTATGATTATATATATATATATATATATATATATATATATATATATGAAGAGTTCAGATGCAAAAGCCTCTAAGTGCCATTTGAAATTTTCTTCTTTAATGATGATTTTTATCAAACTTGTATATTTAAGTTCAGTAATTTCACTTAAATAACAATTAATAGGTAATTATCATTGCCATTTAAGTGAAATCACTGAACTTAAATATACAAGCTTGATAAAAATTATCATTTTAGAAGAAAATTTCAAATGGCACTTAGAGGCTTTTGCATCTGAACTCTTCATATATTATTGAATACCTGTCAGATGATACATCTAACTAGACAATTAGATAATACCAGTTTAGCTCAACCAATGCTTCATGTTGTTCAGTGTGTTTGAGTGTAAAAAGAGCAGAAAACACACTTCAGCAAAACATAATCAGCTCAAAGTGTTCGAGTCATTCTTTGTCCCACACCTTTATAAATGTTACCGGAGTCACTATGTGAAGAATATTTGGGTATAATATGTCAGTTTACTTTATTTTGCTCTCCTCACTTACACACATTTCCCTCTTCTGACAATCCGAAGTAAATTCCTGATTAACACACACTAAAGTATGCTGTACCTCATTCCAGTCCTCTTCAGTTTCATGTCTGTATCCCAGTAAGTGGCAGATCCCATGAGCTGTGACCACCTACACACACACACAGAGAGAGAGAAGACCTTTACTGTGTCCGTCAGTGTATGTGTAGTGTGATCGGTAGTCGGTGTGTCTTACAGTGAGAGTCTGGTGCAGGTCCTGCGACGTCTCTCTGCACTGCTGCATCACACACTCCACCCCGAGGAAGATGTCCCCGAGGTTATACTCGTCTCTCTGCAGGACACACGGCAGCTTCCCCGGCCTCAGATCCTGCGCACACACACACACACACACACACACATCAGGCTCAGATCCTTTTTTTTTTTTTTTTTTTTTCAGTAAAAAAAAACGCAATAAAGATTTTGTGTGTGTGTATCTCACAATTCTGACAAACCCCCTCAGAGTTTAGATACCGGTATAAACTTTCTATTTTGAGTTATAAAGTCTGAATTGGAGAAACTAGCAATTATCTTTTTTCTTCTCAGAATAAACTCAAAATTGCGAGAAAAGTCACTTACAAAATTACCATTTTTTGTTTATTATTATTATTCCGTGTCGGAAACAGGCTCCAGCCAGCTGTCAATCACATGCTGTCTTCCATGTATATGTCTATGACTGTCTTCAATCGCTGAAGAATGAATCGTTCAGGAATGAGTGTGAAGAGTGTGTGCGGGCGGCTGTACCTCATAGAAGGGGAAGGCCAGCACGTCGGTGGGCCGGTCCCGGCGCCGGTAGACCCGGTTGATGCGCTGGATCCTGCGGTTGTCCACGCAGATGATGCCCATGTCGAACCGCTGCACGCCGAAGATGTGCCTCAGGATCTCCACGTCTTTGCGCATGCGCGCGCGCCTCAGAGGAACCACCGTCTGCAGGTTCCGCAGGACGAGCCCCATCCCAAACTACTGTCAACACGATTAATATATGAGTGTGTCAGACGTACATATGTATTTACTCTACTGCTTACGGACTGGAAATATAAAGTAAAAACGTATATTTATTAAAAAGGCCGGTCATTTCGATACAACTGCCATGTTCCCGACTTTGCTCTGTCCATTGATTTGGAAACTGAAAGGGCGCATGCGCCATTTCGACCGTTCATACGTGTCAAAATAAAAGATCTGTCATTAAACCGTTGGATATTTTCGTACATACTACATATTTTAATCTGAAATTATTGTAAAAACAATTTTGAGTTTTTTTATATACATATGTAAAAAATATATGCTTATCTTTTTCTTAGTATTTATTTCTCTTGGACTGTGACTTTTACTGTTCTCCGGAAGTAGAAACCAGGAACTTCCAACACTGTTTGCGCGTTCGTGTTGGAGGTCACTTTGATTTACAAGGTAAGTTATGCCGCTATTTAACACACAACGAAATAATTTACACCGATGTATTGTTATTTTAACATTTACTTTGGACAATATACGTATGTGGCACTGAAAACAGCATCAGAGTCGGTGTTTGTTTGCTAGATGTCATTCGCTGCTTCGCTTGTGTTGTTTCTGTGTGTATCTGAATAGTCAGTCACTGTTAACACGACTAAACAGCTAGTTACAACTTAGTACAACTAAACTACTCAGTTGCAATCGCTAAATATGAATGTAACCGCTATACCTCTTCACACAATTTATCATAAATTTTAACCACTCGTTTTTGAATCTTTCTTTAATGTTTCCACTTTATTCGACTCGTTCGCGAGTGATTCGGGCGAGTCGAGTCACTTGAACTGGTTCTTTTAGATTAGTGACACACTTAAGTATACTGAAAAAGAGTGAGGGACACTGCTTTGCTGTTTTATTTCTGCACACTGAAACTGTGAGGTGTCTTCAGTATGGGTGGGGATCATGGACACGGAAAGCTGCCGATGCCGGACTACCGGGTGTGGAAGATTGAAGGGACGCCGCTGGAGGTGACCCAGCAGAGGCTGGCCCGCAGAGGACTCCAGGACCCCTGGCTTCGGTGAGCACACACACACACACACACACACTGATATATGCGTCCTCTCAGCTATCTGCAACTCAAGTGATGGCCCGGAGTCAGCTATTACAAAGAAATTAAGTTACCTCTGAGTTAAATAACTGATTTTTATTTCATGTTTGCTTTAATACTTTCTATTTGTACTGGCCTTTGCTATTAAGAATCGTATGTGCTCATCTCCTCTCATGGGTGAAAACAGGCAACTCTCAAACTCATTTAAAGAGTTAGTTCACCCCAAAAATGAAAATCCTGTCATCATTTACTCACCCGGATGTCCCGTAAGACGTTTGTTCATCTTCCGAACACGATGAAGATTTTGATTTCTGAATCCTTCATAGGCTGCAACGTCATTGCAATTTTCAAGGCCCAGAAAGGTAGTAAAGGCATCGTTGAAGTGTCCATGTGACTCGAGTGGTTCAACCTTAATGTTTTGAAGTGACGAGAATACTTCGTAACCAAAAAACGATTTTATCTGTGTCAGTGTCTGATGCTGTTCACATAGTAAACACACTCTTCCCGGTTCTATGTCAGAACGCCGGCTCACTATTGGCCGTCTCTAGTGACCAGCGTCAGCCAATAGTGAGCCGGCGTTCTGATGCAGAACCTGCACTGTGTTTACAGAGTCAACATTGAATATGAACGAAGGTCTTACGGGTTTGAATGACACGAGAGCGAGTAATTAATGACTGAAATTTCATGTTTAGGTCAACTAATCCTTTAACACAGTTGTTATTTTTGTTTTATTCCTAACCACAAATGTTCATTGTTCTAGATCTGACATTGTGGTCTTGAAAAATACAATGAAAATCAATATGTCCACAACTCAACGTGTATAATCTGGTCTCCTTTTCACCAAGGCTGCATCAAAAATACAGTAATAATGTGAAATATTGTTTTCATTTTAAACAGCCGTTCTCTATGTGAATATATTAGTAAAGTGTAATGTATTCCTGTGATGTTCAGCATCATTACTCCAGTCGTCAGTGTCACATGACCCTTCAGAAATCACTCTAATATGAGGATCTGATGCTCAAGAAACACTTATGATTATTATCAGTGTTGAACACAGTCGTGCTGATCCATATCTCTGCGGAAACTGTGATAGATTACTATTCAAAACTGTTAAGACAATATATTAAGCAGCAGAAACCGATAATAATCATATGTAATAATCATATTAGAGTGATTTCTGAAGGGTCATGTGACACTGAAGAATTGATTAATGATGCTGAACATCACAGGAATACATTACACTTTACTAATAAATTCATTTATTATAAATGCAGCCTTGATGAGACTCCTTTCAAAAATATCTTATAAAAATATTAATATTCCTAACTATTGATTGGTTGTATATGCTGCATAAAGTGGGCAATGGGCTCTATGCACGGCGTTATTTCCGGTGAAGCATTAGGGATGCTCGATAACTTCCGCCGATCATAGAGTCCAATGCAATACCGAGAATTTATATTGAATTTTATACTCCATGGTTATACTAATGAAACGTTAGTCACAAAAACAGATAAAACAGACACCCCTCGTTGTGTTTATGCTTCTTTTTAAAATTATATTAAATAAACATAACTATATATAAAATAACATCTAAACGTATGTACGTTTCGTTTCAAAGACGGGAGGACAGTAAATATTGAAGACTCTGCCATAATCCCGTTTTCTCCGGTTTTCCTCCGCTTTAATCTACACAACCGGAAATGGACGAGCATCCTTACGTCAAATGCGGAACTTATGCGTGCATATAGCCCATTAGTTCCAGATCATATTACCGTACGAGTGATGACTATGGGTTATAGTGAATAGAGATTCTCCTAAAGTGACTTGCGTTTCGTACAGCAGCTCATGTGTGTGTGTGTGTGTGTGTGTGCAGGAACGAGGCGTGGAGGTTCGCGGGCAGCTTCGGGGTGCCGGTGACCCTCAGAGACGTGCTCATGCGGGGCTTCAAGACGGGCTTCGCTGCGTTCGCAGTCGCTCTGGCCGTGGAGTACGCTTTCTTCCCGCCCAAGAAGAGCGAGCACTGATCATGTGACTGACGTGCGTGTGTGTGTGTGTGTGTGTGTGTGCGTGGTGCAGGTTTGAAGCCTGCGCTCATTCTCCTGTGTTTCCCTCGACCAGTCTGTACAATAAATATAACTTAAGTGATTTGGACCCAGCCTGATTTATTAATTTTTTTATTGGAAATTGTAGCCAAACCTTTAGAGCCATCAAAAGTATGATTCTGTATGGTAAGTATGAATGCAGCGTCAGCATATAGATCAGTATGTCAGTACCAGGATTTTCTAAGTTTCTGGTTACTTCTAACCCTGATCTAATCTCACTTCCCATAGAATCCCATTCATACCAATGAGAATACTACAGAATATTGACTTAATATATAAGAGGAACCGAATCACATGACATGCTTACTACATTATTGTGGAATGTAGAAGTGAAAGTTTCATTACCGAATCCCTGAATGATAAAACGGGCCAACTACTTACTCTATTATATGATTAAACTACTGTATTATGTTATTTTTATTTTGGAGACTCACAGCAGCTTGAAAAGCATCCAAGGTTAAAAAATAAAAACTTGAATTGTCTCATAATATCCTCTGACTCATCAGCTCTGTTCTCTCAGTGTCTGAACCGGTTTGATAGAGGATCGCCTCTCTGAGAGCCCACTCGGCTGTGATTGGTCAGATGACCCAGTCTCTGCTGTGATTGGTCACTCTTGGGCTATTCTTTTGAGAGACTCCATTTATCTTTAGCAGACCTTTTGCATTCACAAACAGCTCTATTACACACTACAGGAAAGGTCATTTTCCACATTATCTGAGTCACATGGATGCAAATCTTCGAAGACCTTCTGAAGTTTTCTTAGCACTGTTGTGCACTTCATTTATGTCTTTTGAAATTTGCTGTAAAAACTAAAGCACGAATCAGTGTCTTATTGTCAATGTTGTGGTATTGTTCAGAACAATGCTGGCGATTGCAGGAAAGCTAATATTTAGTTTAATGGAGAAATGTGTTTGAAATAATATATCAGTTGTGATTCTCAGCATTTTAATCTCCTTTTAATGCCTTCTTGACAGCTGGACAAGTCTAAGACTAAACCTAAACACTAAAGCGCCAATACTCCAAAAGTATCACAACTAGTTTGTTCAGATCTTAAAGCATTATTATGAATGTTTCTGCCTGGAGAGAAATATCATCTTCAACACATCGGACACAGTGACAGGTGCTTCACGTACTATACTCAATCTCATTAAAATTTCAACAAGTGAGATGTATTTGTCCTTAAGGTTTAAACAAATAGACTAGGTAAGGTAGTAATAATAATACTTTTACTGTCTATCTATAGTAATAATTTACATTTAGCACGCATGATGTCAATGACGTAAGTGTCTGCTTTCCGGGACATGTCTTTCCACTGGGTTTCACCCATAGACTGTAAAAAAAGAGCTTTCCACACACTGAGCTTTTACATCACTTCCTCTTTCCGTCTCTTTTATTAACGATATTAATCATGTGCAGAGGCTCCAGTTCAGCCAAAAGAACAGCTCTCTCGAGGTAAGCTCTATGTTTGATTCTTTTTATCGCAGAATATTTTAAGTTATTTACTCAATCTCAATCTCGTCCACATAAACACTGAAGCGTGGCGCTCACACAACCGTTACCACTAGACCGGTATACATGCAATAATAATAGCTTTCTTTTTAAATAGTTTTTAGCTAAAAGTGTAACTAAAGTTATTGTTAATATAGTAAAACAGACTGTGGTCAAAAAGAATTAGGCCTATAGTGAAAGAAATCGTGAAGATATTTATTTAACATACGATACAGGGCTATTTTGGCGGAAACAACCATGTTAAAATAATAACGAATTTTTTTATGATAGTCATTTGATTGTAAAAGGATGACCCTGCTTTGAATGTAAAAGAAATATCATAACATTTACCCTAGTCAAAAAATAGGATTAATGAAATGTAAGCTTTTAATATCATGATATTATCCTACAAATAAATAAATAAAAACGCTAAAGTCTTAGCTGGTTTGAGCTAGTCTCCCAGTTTGACCATCTAAAACTAGCCTGGTCATCTTAAACCAGCACTGAATTTACTTAAGCTGGACTCCTATTTTCTTCTTGAAACAAACTTTGTTGCATTATTTTCCTATTATCACTGTAAAGCTGCTTTGAAACATATGTATTGTAAAATATTTAAATAAAGGTGATTTGACTATCAAAAGTGTCCAAAACCCCTGTAAATCCTGCCTGGGAGACCAGTTAAAGCGCACCAGCCAGTTTAGGCTGATTTTATCTGCTTTTTTTTTTTTCAGAAGTGATAAAGCTACCTTGGTAACTCTTTACAATACGGGTGCTCTAATATGCATTAATTCATACATAACTAATGCACAGATAATCGTGAGTTAATGTATAACTAATGAAGAACTAAACCATTAATTAATGATTACTGCATCAGCAACTAATAAAGAGTCTACATGATTAATAGATTAAGTAATACATGAATTGCTATTAATTCAGTGTATCATTGTGTATTCATTTTCTTAATAACATATTTTATTAACTAATAGTATAAATTAATGTGTTAATTACCACAATTAGGCAAAGCTATGCACTTCAACTTCCAGTTGCCTGCTTTAATTAATCATTAGCTAATGATTTGCAAAGGTATCATTATGTTATGACTTTACTTGTTGGGGCACATCATTATTAACTAATCATTTAGTAATTGTAGTCATTTTCACATGAATTTGCACTAACAATATAGTAACTAATCATGTATTAATGTATATTAGTGCACCTGTCATATTATCTGGAAGTTGAAATACAAGGCTTTGGCTCATTCTGGTAATTAACATATTAATTAACACTATTAGTTAAAAAAATGAGGTATTATGGAATTAATCCACAATTACATATTTAATTAAAACAAGTAATGAATGAACTAATACATTAACCTTACAGACTCCTAATGTGGTAATCATTAATGAATAGCTTAGATAATCATTAGTTACACATTAATTCAGTATAATCTGTGCATTAGTTAAACATGAATTAATGCTTATAAGTGTACCGGTATTGTAAAGTGTTACCGCTACCTTTTCAAAGTTTAATTGTGAAAGTAGCCCCGAGAATGAGCCATCCGTCTCACTGGGTTTATGCAAATACTCTAAACCCCTAAATGTCGGTAAATGAACCACATTGGCTGTGGTGTAAAGTCCTAGAAGTGAGTGTGTGTGCCCCTCAGCGTGGGTTTGGAGCAGAATGTCAAGCTGTTTGGTTTCATCTTTTCACTCAACTCATTTCATTTCTAACGGATGACTAGTCTCTCATACTATAGGCTGTGTTTGGACGGCTATTAGACGTCTTTTAAACGCAATAGTGCTTGTGGGAAGGCTTAAAGTGAGTGTGTGTGCTCCTCAGCGTGTGTTTGGAGCAGAATGTCGGTCCTGTCCCACACCATCAGTCAGATCACAGAAGAGCTGAGCACAGACGAGTGCAAGCGCCTCTCGTACCTGTGTGGAGATCTGGACCCCGACTGCTTCTCTGCGGACCCCAGAGGAACCCTACACACACTGCTGAGCCAGACGCGGGTGGACGGCGTGTTCCTGATGGAGCTGGTCCTGAAGATCAAGCGCTACGATCTGCTGAGAGAAGTGCTGAGCACCAGCAAGAGCTCGGTCGAGGGCATGCTGAGGACGCGCCAGGCCGTGCCGGAGTACAGGTACAGCTCGCTTGCAGGATTTTAAGAGTGTGTTAGAGCAGTGTTCGATCGGGATTTCACTTTTCTAGCATTAGTTAGTGTGTAATGTCGCTGTTTGAGCATAAACAACATCTGCAAAGTTACAACGTTCAAAGCAAAGGGAGATATTTGCTTTTAAAGAAATCGTTTTTAAGGACTACAACAAACGGCTGGTAGGAACTACACAAACTTCCTCCCGGGTTAGTGACATCACCAACCCTAGAATTTACATAAACCCCGCCCCCGGGACCCGATTTGTACTTTCTCATGACAGAATATGCTAATCAAACACTTGAAGATTGTTAACTCCACATCAGCAACATACATTCATCAACTAACCATTCAGAGACTCGACATGTTGTCCCTTGAGTCTCTCCATCTTGTGAAAGTGTCATTACCGTGTGTGTTAGGTCGCTGATGGCTGACGTCAGCGAGGACATGGACGCCGAGGACCTGAAGTCATTGTCTTTCTTACTCAGAGGCACGTTACCCAAACAGAAGCTGGAGAACGTCCAGGTAAGCAGCGCCGCTGCCGTCGTTCTTCAGCGTCCTGCGATCGGAGGTTTCGTGTGTGGGACTGATGTGTGTTTGCAACTATTTGCAGAGTTTCTTAGACATCGTAGTGGAGTTGGAGAAACTGGACCAGCTCTCGAGTGAGAAGACGGGCTTTATTGAAGATTGTCTGAGGTCCATTCACCGGACGGATCTGGCCAGGAAGATCAGCCGCTTCCAGCACACAGGTCGGCATTACCAGCAGACTCACCTGTGCTTTTATGATTTAAAGTGACACTATTATGTTTTTCGGATATCACTTGTCATCACAGCACACTGGGTCATCTGACCAATCACAGCACATGGGTCATCTGACCAATCACAGCACACTAGGTCATCTGACCAATCACAGCAGAGACTGAAGCTTGTCAGCCTGTTGTATTATTCAGGGGTTTACTCCAACATTCCACAATGATGTAGTACACATGTCATGTGATTCAGTTCCTCTTTCGTTTCGTCTAGTTATCAGTAGTATGAATGGGGATTTTAGGGGAAATGTAGTGATTAGATTTGGTTTCCTTTCTAAAATAACTGAGATCCGCTGTTTCAGCTGTGATGGCCAATCCAGAAGTGTGTCCTCCAGAGCGTGCTCAACACTTCAGACCGCCAGCGGTGAGAGCCATGCGCTTCGTCTTACAGAACACACACACTGCTTTACATACTGGTTTACTCACTCTTGCTGTTTGTGTCATTCACAGGCACACACCTCGTCGGGTTTCTCATCAGGTTTCTCATTGGGTTCCTGTAAAGGGTGGCAGACTCACAAATTCTGTGGTGAGTTCAAAGGAAATACCAGTGAAAGTTTAGAGCAAGCTCATTCTGCCTCAGTGGTAGTGAGGTCACTAAAACCATCAACTAGGAAAAAGTCACACAAACTGTTTAGTCTCCACCCTTTGTCTAAACTGCAAAGGTTTACACAGTTTATATTCTATACACACACAAAATAATCATTGAGAAAAAAAGAATCATTGAGAAAAAGAATCATTGAGAAAAAGAATCATTGAGAAAAAAAAGAATAATTTAGAAAAAAGGAATCATTGAGAAAAAAAGGAATGATTGAGAAAAAAAGAATCATTGAGAAAAAAAGAATCATTGAGAAAAAAAGGAATCATTGAGGAAAAACAGAATCATTGAGAAAAAAGAATCATTGAAAAAAAGGAATCATTAAGAAAAAAAAAGGAATCATTGAGGGAAAAAAAATCATTGAGAAAAAAAAGAATCATTGAGAAAAAAAGGAATCATTGAGAAAAAAAAGAATCATTGGGGAAAAAAGGAATCATTGAGAAAAAAAAGGAATCATTGAGGGAAAAAAAATCATTGAGAAAAAAAAGAATCATTGAGAAAAAAAGGAATCATTGAGAAAAAAAAAGAATCATTGAGAAAAAAAGAATCATTGAGAGGAAAAAAGAATCATTGAGAAAAAAATAATCATTGAGAGAAAAATAATCATTGAGAAAAAAAAGAATCATTGAGAAAAAAAGGAATCATTGAGAAAAAAAAGAATCATTGAGGAAAGAAAGAATCATTGAGAAAAAAAGGAATCATTGAGGAAAAAAAGGAATCATTGAGGGAAAAAAAGAATCATTGAGGAAAAAAAGAATCATTGAGAAAAAAAGAATCATTGAGAAAAAAAGGAATCATTGAGGAAAAAAAGAATCATTGAGGAAAAAAAAGAATCATTGAGGAAAAAAGGAATCATTGAGAAAAAAAGAATAATTGAGAAAAAAAGAATCATTGAGAAAAAAAAGAATCATTGAGAAAAAAAGAATCATTGAGGAAAAAAAAGAATCATTGAGAAAAATAAGGAATCATTGAGGGAAAAAAAGGAATCATTGAGGAAAAAAAAGAATCATTGAGAAAAATAAGGAATCATTGAGGAAAAAAAAGGAATCATTGAGGAAAAAAAGGAATCATTGAGAAAAAAATCATTGAGAAAAAAGGAATCATTGAGAAAAAAGGAATCATTGAGGGAAAAAAAAGAATCATTGAGAAAAAAAAGGAATCATTGAGAAAAAAAAGAATCATTGAGAAAAAAAGAATCATTGAGAAAAAAAAGGAATCATTGAGGAAAAAAAGAATCATTGAGAAAAAAAGAATCATTGAGAAAAAAAGGAATCATTGAGAAAAAAGAATCATTGAGAAAAAAAGAATCATTGAGGAAAAAAAGAATCATTGAGAAAAAACAGAATCATTGAGAAAAAAATCATTGAGAAAAAAGGAATCATTGAGGGAAAAAAAAGAATCATTGAGAAAAAAAGGAATCATTGAGAAAAAAAAGAATCATTGAGAAAAAAAGAATCATTGAGAAAAAAAAGGAATCATTGAGGAAAAAAAGAATCATTGAGAAAAAAAGAATCATTGAGAAAAAAAGGAATCATTGAGAAAAAAGAATCATTGAGAAAAAAAAGAATCATTGAGGAAAAAAAGAATCATTGAGAAAAAACAGAATCATTGAGAAAAAAGGAATCATTGAGGGGAAAAAAAAGAATCATTGAGAAAAAAAAGAATCATTGAGAGAAAAAAAGAATCATTGAGAAAAAAAAGGAATCATTGAGGAAAAAAAGAATCATTGAGAAAAAAGAAAAATTGTTAAAAAAGAATCAGTGAATGTTACAGTTCTTCATGGAACCATCAATGCTAATCAAGAAGCTTTATTTTTAAGTTTGTATTATGTAGTGTAATATATTTGTGTGTTGTAATATTTCCTTACAGATACGCAGACTCCAGTGAAGAAGGAAGCGGCCCGGTCCAGCTCCGGCTCCGGCTGCCAGGTCAGGCTTTCCCGTGTTTATGATGAATTACTGGAGCATGAATTAGAAACATGTTCTCCAATCATGTGCTTTAAACAGATCCTGTATTCAGTGCTGGGCAACGATTAATCACATCCAAAATAAAAGTTTGTGTGTAAAATGTGTATGTGTGCACTGTGTATAACTATTTTGCATATATATATATATATACACACACACACACATGCCTGTATATAGAAAAATGTGTTATTTATATATAAAATATTTGTATTTATATATAATATAAATTAAGTATAAATAAATATACACATGTAAAAATTTCTTTAATATACACATACATGTGTGTGTATATAAAATATTTATACACATTGCACACACACATTACACAAAGTTTTATTTTGGATGCGATTTATCAAAGACATGTTGGTTTTTATTTAAATAAAAGTCGAGATCATCAAGTGTTGTAGTGTGTGTGAGATTGAAGGGTCATTGCCAGGTGTGTGATGTGAGTGTGTTGTCTGATGTCTAACAGGAGGAGGTGTACAGGATGACGGACCCCATAGGAGTGTGTTTAATCATAGACTGTGTCGGCACTGAAGGAGGTGAGAGAGAAACACACACACACACACACACACACCATCATTACTCCAGTCTTCAGTGTCACATGATCCTTCAGAAATCACTCTAATATGAGGATCTGATGATCACGAAACAGTTATGATTATTATCAGTGTTGAAAACACTCGTGCTGCTTCATATTTCTGTGGAAATGTAATTTTTCAGGATTCTTGAATTAATCTAAAGTTCAAAACAATTTCTTTGAATTCTGTAACATTATGAATGTCTTTACTGTCACTTTTGATCATTCGAATACATCCTTGCTGAATACAAATGTTAATTTCTTATTTCTATTGACCTCGATCTATGGAAAAGTACAGCAAATTCTATAGTTAATCAGTCACAGTGTTTTTAATATTTTTAGGGATGCACTAATATAAACATTTTGGCTGAGACCGAAAACCGATGATTTTTTATATATTGGGAAGCCGATATGTTGGCCGATTAATCTAGATCCAAAATTACATTACATCCTCATTACAAAAACAAAAGTCTCACAATTAAAATCCATGTCCCAAACAAACAATTATAATGTACTCATGATTTTATCAAGCAATTCAAAACCATCATAGTGATCAGTGCGCATCTCAAGGAAATAATACATTATTTATAGCCTTTAAAGGAGTCGTTCACTTTAAAAAAACACTTTTGCTGATAATTTACTCACCCCCATGTCATCCAAGATGTCCATGTCTTTCTTTCCTCAGTCGAAAAGAAATTAAGGTTTTTAATGAAAACATTCCAGGATTTTTCTCCATATAATGGACTTCAATGGGAACCAAACGGTTCAAGGTCCAAAAGACAGTTTCATTCATTCATTCATTCATTCATTCATTCATATATTTTATTTCATTCTTTTGAAAAAAAGAAAAGAAATGAAAAGGAGCAGAAAGAAGATAAACTTATAATATCTGCCCCTTATCAACATAAATCAAATTACAATTCCAAAGAGGTACACTTACAACACACATTTACTTTGCAGCACCTATGCAAAGTCATAAATCAAATAACACATTTTCCTACTAAATAGATGCAATATATTTTTCTATTAGTAATGCTTTTACACTCTTCTTAAAAACTAAAATGATGTTGAAGTTTTAATTTCACTATTTAGATTATTCCACAGACTGACACCCTGTATTGAGACACATCTGTCCTTTAATTTTGTTCTAAACTCAGGTTTCTGAAAGACTTCAGTTCCTCTTAAATTAAAATTACTAACTCTCTTGATGAATCTATTTTGCAAGTTTTCAGGTGATGTTTTCAAATGTGCTTTGTACATTATTTTTAGAAGACTGTATTCTAATAAGTCATTGAATTTTAAAGTTTTTAACTGTATAAATATTGAATTTTCAATATTGACAGTTTCAGTGCAAAGGGTTTTAAACGACACCAGACGATGAATAATGGTCTTATCAAGCGAAACCTATAATAAATAAATAACAAAGTTTAAGTTTTATAAGCACAAATTCTCGCCTTGCTCTGTTTTGTGTGTCTCTCCTGTTCGAACACGTTCATCAAAAAAATGTTCTGAGTCAATTAGTTTGTTTCGTTCGTTGAATGAACCAAATGACTTGGGAAACGATTATTTTTATAAATGAGCGATCGTTTCGCTTGATAAGACCCTTATTCATCGTCTGGTGTCGTTTAAAGCCCTTTGAAGCTGCACTGAAACTGTCTTTTGGACCTTGAACCGTTTGGTCCCCATTGAAGTCCATTATATGGAGAAAATCCTGGAATGTTTTCATCAAAAACCTTCATTTCTTTTCGACTGAAGAAAGAAAGACATGGACATATTGGATGACATGGGGGCGAGTAAATTATCAGCAAAAGTGTTTTTTAAAAGTGAACTACTACTTTAGTAGATTAACCAAATTTACACACCTTGTATGAACCCGGAACATAATGAAGAAACACGTTTGTCCGTTCATGGCCACTGTAACCCGCGGTGTGTGTAGAGAGAAATGGCTCGTTTTAAGCTAATAAACACATAACGGTTCATTTAGTGAGGTCTTCATACACCACTGAACACACAGTTAAGTATATGATATTGCATTGCTAAATATGACACAAGCACCTTTAAGGACCCTTTAGTGGAGTGAATGTTATTAAAGGTTCTTCTCCTGTGTCCCGCACAGACGATCTGGAGCAGGCGTTCCTGGCGCTGCGCTTCAGTGTGACGCTGCACCGGCTGCTGAGCGAGCGCGAGCTGGAGTCCACGCTGAGGGCCGTGTCGCGTCAGCAGGAGCTCCACACGGCGGGTGTGTTCGTCTGCTGCATCATCAGCCGGAGCCGCTCCTCTCTCCTGCTGGCCACCGACCCGCTGGCTCCGGGACTGAGCCTGGACGCCCTCAGGACACTCTTCACCCCGCGCTCCTGCCCCGGCCTGGCCGGCAAGCCCAAACTCTTCTTCATCCAGAGCTACGAGGAGTGCGAGGCGTGTGTGGGGCCGGGGGACGGAGAGCTGGAGACCGACGGGCCGGTGTCCTCGTGCCGGTCCAGGGCGGTGCCGGAGGACGCTGATGTGTTCTGGAGCCACTGCTGGACTGACGGACACCAGCTGGAGACGCCCGGCCACCGGTCCGTGTACCTGCAGGCCCTCAGAGCCGCCCTGACCGACACACGCAAGAGGTGAGGCGCGATGACGAGGTCTCGCTGTGGCGACACTGGCGCCCTCTGCAGGCATGTGCTATACTGAGGTCTCGTGACGGTAAAGGGGTGGTATAATAATAGCGCGCGCTGCACTCCCTTTTGGACTTTGAGCCGAGTGGATAAATGGTTTCGTTACGTTTTTTTCACGAATAAACATTATCGAACATTTATCGAACTCTTGATATCGTTTTATCGAGTAAAAATTATATCGCGATAACTATTGTTATCGTTTTATCGCCTAGCCCTAAGCTTAATATATATAAAACCATAATTTATTAGCTACTTTCAATTGGCAGGTGGCTGTCCCAAACCCAAAAGTTTCTTAAATTGTCACTACTAGAGTTGGGTAATAAATATCGATTTCTCGATATTAATCGATTCTCATTTTTACAAACCAATATAGATTCTTAAATCTCAAGAATCGATTAGTCATCCTGTTTCATTTGAATTAATGGATCATTGTATCGCAGCTGCGCGCATCCAACAAATCGCAATAATCTTTGCCCTTTGTTACTATTGATATGAAACAAAGTCTCAATTTTCAAATTACGTCCATTTTCTTTAGAAATTCAAAAACATAAATTGCGTTTCGCCGTTTTGGCGCTGTGGCGTGAGATCGCTCTGGCGCAGCTCCAGAGAACAGTTACAGCAAGAAATAAACATGAATGAGCATCTGAAAGTGTGTTAAAGATAGAGTACAACTTATCGAAATAAATAACTATCATGTCACATTGATTCCCTCAATCAGCGTTTCAACCGTGGAAAGACGTCAATTAAACAGCTTGTAATCAATGCATGTATCGTCATATTTACCTCAGAAAACTCCACATAAACTCATTAGTCCACACTCGTTAGTGTTCTTCAATATTTAATGCATATTTGAATAAATCTGGCAAGTTTTTATGACAGCCACCATTTAAATGTTTATATTTCATATAATCTTCTTATTATAAAAATAAATAAAAGTGTAATTTAAGTGTCTGTATATCTACAAAACAGTTAATTATTACCTTCATATTAGGCTAATGAAGCCTAGTAGGCTACAACTAGACATACACCATAGTTTACAGCATTTAAGAGATTTGATTCCCTTGAGAAAAATTGCCATTTATTGTAACTGATATCCAAAATAATCGATATCGAATCGAATCGTAATCGAAATCGAATTGCAAGCTTGTGAATCGAAATCGAATCGAATTGTGAAATTTGTCTCAATACCCAGCCCTAGTCACTACCAACTTGTTTTGGTAGTGACAAAAGGGAACGCATAATAATTTATTTGGGGGAAATAAACAGGATGTTTGTACAGTTATGCAAATCATTAGCATCTTAAGGCCTGCCGACGTTGTGACTAAACAATGGGCCCCAATGTGAGTGTTCACACCGACACGTAAAACACCACGCGTAAAAGCGTCATTTTAAAAAAAACACCTCGGGTTCGTTTTTTTTTTTAGTTTAACGCGCCATGTCAAAAACTATCCGACCAATGAGATTGCCGCTTTTGCTGACGTGTTTGGAGCTTCTGAAGTTACAGTAAAACACAACTTGGGGGCGCTCAAACACAAAACGGTCTTGCCGAACACACATACGTAACGGCGAAGAAGATATAACTCAAGTAGCATCGCCGTCTACACAGCCAGGAAGAAATAAGACGAGGAAGATGCAAGGCAAGATGAATGTAGAGCTGCTGGTCTCGTTGGTGTCAGAAGATAAAGAACTATATGACAAATGCGACATCGACTACAAACATCTTGATAAAAGATAACTGTTATAGAGTGGTATTGCAGAGCAAATTGGCGCCATCTAATGTCAGGGAATGAATTTGCATGTTCACTCGGCTCATCGTCAGCGAAAATCACTTGGGTGTGAACACAAAAAACGCGCTGAAAAACGCTGGCGAATAACGCGCGCTGATATTCGTCCCGGTGTGTACGGGCCTTTAGTGTGTTTTAGTATGCGAGTTAATATTCTGTGATGTGACGTAGTCACACTCGCCATTACTGTCTCTGGCCACGACCGGAACATGCATGCTTTGTCTAAAATAAATGATTGAATTATTAACTAAGACGATGTTATAGTGTTTGGTTCAATTTATAATATTCAAACGAATGAATCCTTAACTTTGAAATCAGTGTGATTAACTTAAAGCCTTTTACAAAGAAATATTGGGTTCAAAATTTAACAAATCTTATCATTTACACTTCAAATTGTAATAGTTTTTGATTTACCTTAAATAACGTATATTATACAATTTGCATACATGCAAAATTTGTGGAAAAATGTGCAACTCTGACTTTGACCCAGTTCTGTAAATGGCCCATTTATGACGTAGTTTATCTGGTTCATTTCTTTTAGCATTTTGGTTTTGGCTACGGCCTGTATCTTTAAAATGTATTCGTAAAAGTTCATTTCAAACCCTGTGTGTGTTTTAATACATAGTGTACATAAATTGAATAGGATTACATTATTGTTCATTTAAACTAAAAATAAACCATATTTTATTTGATTAAAAATGATTAAAAATGCAATAAAAAAAGGTCTGCACTCTAAAAAATACGTTATATGTTACAAACAGGAGATAAAGAAACGTTTCGTCTCAAATAGTCGCACTTCGTCAGTGCGACTATTTCACTTCTTCTTAATAAGTATAGAAACCGCTGCAGGTCTTCAGGTTATCATGATCATAATTACACAACCGGCACTGACTCCAGTTTAACAGATTAGTAATGGGGACGATAACACATCATCAAGAAGTACATATTTGATCCATTGAAATTCGTTCGTTGTTATTTAAAGGCTATTGTTCACTTGGGTCTATTTTTATTACCACAGAAATATCTGATCTTCAAAATAATTGACAGATTACTCGATTACCAAAAATAATCATTAGTGACAGCCCTAGATAAAACATTTCAAAATGCACATGCATTGTTTTGCATTTTGACTTTCAATTAGAATATTTTTCCAGTCATATATTTCATTATTAAACATTTCTTAAAAGTAGTGTTCAAATATCGTTCTCGTGAACCCAATCGGGTCACACCCCAGGTTATTTACTATATTATAGCCTACTGTACAGCAGACATTGTAGATCACTGCATGTCAATATTCACTATTATTACTCTTTAATTCTTACATTCTGAGAGATCAGTTTTAGAAGGAACAATTACTCCCGTATAGCCTACTACTGCTTTAAGGTGCCAATTTAATATTAAAATTCAATATATTTTCATTTTAGTTTTTATATTTATTACTATTAGTTTTTACATGCAAATGTATTCATTTTCCATCTGTGTATCGTGCTTATGTTTCTGTCCCTCTTGAATTATTGCGGTAACGCGGTCACGATGCAATTATTTTTATTAGCATTAGCATTATTAGCATTTTCGAATAAAAACGGCCTGGAGTTAATTATACCGGTTACTTAAAAACATTGTTCACATGTTTTATTTCGATACATTAGTCAGGGTTTTGTCTTTAAAACTCACTTCTTCTGTGTGTGTAAGATCTTGTTTTTGATCTCTATGAAGCTTTATGTAATGTATATTTGCTCGTTGCAGGGCTCATCTGATAGACATGCACACGGCGGTGAATCGGGCCGTTTATGAACACAATCGCAGATCTGCTGAATCATCATACACAATCAATCTGAGACACACTCTCAGGAAGACTCTGTATCTGTCATGAACCCTCACGTTCAAGTGAAGGAGGATTACGCCTGATCATCTGAGGTTTAATGATTATCGTGATAATGATGTTGATATGAATTGTATCAATTATGATGCGAGTATTCAGTGAATATGTCTCAGGTTGTGTGACTGACTGTAGTTTGCTATGTTGTCCACACGTGGGCAGTGTCACACTTGTGTTAACTTTTGTTAAACTGCTAATCAGTTGAGATGTTTTAAAATATACTTATTTAAATGATTTAATTGAATGGATTATGTTTGAATTGGTAAATGTCCTAACTTTTAGGACATTTGTCCTAATTTGAACACTGATTAGAAACACTCATGATCAAAATTTCACCGTTTATGACCAAGAAACCTGGGATTTTATTACTTATATGTGAATGTTTACATTGTTATATGTTGCTATTATATAAGATGTCAATATTTTATTAGTGTTATTTATTGTCATAAAGAAAATATACCAACTTTTCCTGTTATTATGGATTTATTTATTAACATGGAAACACAAATCCAGTACTGTGTTTGTGTGTAAGATGTAAAGCGTGTCAGTAGAGGATGATCTTTAATATCCTGAAGTGATTATTTCTCTGGACGCAGAGAAAGCATTTGATAGAGTTGAATGGGACTATCTATTTGCTGTATTAGACAAATTTGGATTCAGTCCAAAATTCACTTCCTGGATTCGTCTGCTTTATCATCAACCAAAGGCAGCTGTAGTCACAAATAAAATATGCTCACAATATTTCTCTCTATCTAGAGGTACACGGCAAGGGTGTCCCCTTAGCCCTTTGCTATTTATTTTGGCTATAGAGCCACTATCATCAGTACTCAGAACCTCACAGTCTATTAGTGGTATTAAAATAATGAATGTTGAGTATAAAGTTTCCTTATGCTGATGATCTATTATTATATATAACTAACCCGTCATGCGCCTCTCAGATTGTGAAGAAGATATTAAAAGACTACAGGATCTTTTCAGGTTATAAATGAAACTTTTCTAAAAGTATATGCTTCCCTATAAACCATATGGCGGATCAGATTGTGGATACAGACCTGCCCTTTTGCATATCAAAATCTGGATTTAAATACTTAGGAATTAATATTAGCCTACTCGTTCATACACTGGTCTGTTTAAAGCAAATTACAGTCCCATGCTTAAAAATCTGAGTGTTTTATATTTGTCTCTGGTTAAACTAATTGTGTTAAAATGAATGTGCTACCCAGATTATTGTATTTGTTTCAGAGTCTTCCCATTTTCCTGCCAAAGTGCTTTTTTCAGTCAACTAATAGGTTGCTGTCTTCCTTTATTTGGGGCGGCAAAAAAACAAGAATTCGTAGAATACTTCTTGAGAGACCAAAAAAGGATGGAGGTTTGGTTCTCCCGAATTTGTTAAATTATTATTGGGCAGCAAATTTACAAAAATTTGTTTATTGGTTTCAGTCTCAACACACAGACTGGTGTGTAGCAGAAGCGAAATCATGCAAGTCAACAACACTTGCTGTGCTGATTACAATGAAGTCGCCATTCTCATCGGCGCAATTCTCCTCAAGCCCAGTTGTAATTTCGACTCTCAAAATTTACAACCAGTTTAGACAAGCATTTCAACATATGTACACTCTCAGAAAAAAAGGTACAAAAGATGTCACTGGGGCTGTACCTTTTCAAAAGTTAAACTTTGCCCATTTCAGGTGCTAATATGTACATTTTAGGTGCTAATATGTCCATTTTTAGTGCTAATATGTCCATTTCATGAGCTAATATGTACATTTTAGGTGTCAATACATTTTAGTTGTTAATATGTACATTTTAAGAGCTCATATGTACATTTTAAGTGCTCATATGTACATTTTAAGTGTTAATATGTACATTTTGGGTGCTAATATGTACATTTTGGGTGCTAATATGTCCATTTCAGGAGCTAATATGTCTATTTTGGGTCCTAATATGTCCATTTTAGGTGCTAATATGTCCATTTCATGAGCTAATATGTCTATTTTGGGTGGTGATATGTACATTTTAGGTGGTAATATGTCCATTTTAGCTACTAATATGTTAATTTTAGGTGTTAATATGTAAATTTTAGGTGCTAGTATGTACATTTCATGTGCTAATATGTACATTTTAGGTGCTTATATGTGAATTTTAAATATGTCCATTTCATGAGCTAATATGTACATTTTAGGTGTTAATAGGCCTATGTATATTTTAAGTGTTATTATGTACATTTTAGGTGTTCATTTCGATGTGTCTTCACCCCCGTGGCCGCCCGAAGGGTCCTCACCGCCTTGGCCTCCCGAACGGCCTGCTCCGCCTTGGACGCCCGAGGCTCCAACAGCTCCGCCCTGGACGCCCGAGGGTTCGTCTGCTCCATGGCCACGCCCTCAGCTTGCTGCGCCTTGGCCACGCCCTCAGCTTGCTCCACCTTGGCCACGCCCTCAGCCTGCTCCACCCTGATCACACCCTCATCCTGCTCCGCCCTGGAGGCTTCCTCCTCCAGACCACGCCCTCCACAGCCTTCAGGGCGGCCCCCCCATTGATATTACGCCTACCGGGAGGGGGGAGTGATGTCACAGTCCTTCGTCTGCACCAGTCTGTCTTTGTCATCTGCACTTCACTTCCCAGGATTCTCTTGTCTCCACACCTGAACTCACTTCCTCAATCAGCCTCCCGTTCATCGTCTTGTTCATCTGTATCACCTGTCTTCACCTCGTTATGTTTGATTCATGCGTGTATTTAGTTTGCCTGTATTCATTCTGTCCTTGTCGGTCGATGTAGATGTTAATGTTCAATGAGTGTGTGTGTGTAATCTTCTGCCTGTCTTCCTTGTACCCGTTTGGAGTTTTGAGTAAATGTTTTGAATTGGAACTTTGCATCAGCCTCAGCCTGTCTTCATTCCACACTACACCGTGAGTCGTGACAATCACATTTACTAATTATAATCAGGGCCGTATTAAGAGCTCACTGGGCCCCGGGGCTATGAGTTACTGCAGGGCCCCCCCCCCCCCACCACTTTAGGTCACCAACTACATGAGCTAAATGTTATATTATTATAACCTACGAGTCATTTTATCCATCTATGATATACTTCACAGTTAGGTTATGTTACTTTTAACATGATTTTTTTATCATATCAAAATGTATTGACTAAAATTTCATAATTATTGTGACCAATTTCAATATCACCAAAAATAATAGTAGTTTAAGAAAATAATCTCAAGCTTACTGATGACAAGAGTCACAAATTAAAATAGAACAAAGGCACAATAAATCGACCTATGAAAAACTTAAAGCACTGAATAATATTATGTAAAGTAATCAAATATACAATACATGGTTTTCACTATAAATTCAACATTCATTCTTGTTAATTTTGCAAAAGTAATTCAGTCAAATGCAGTAAATTACTTTCTTTCTGATGTTTGATTAACATTATTGACACACATGGCGACAGCAGCTTTATTAGCAGCGTCTGTCACTTTTGAGACCTCAGAGTCGGATTCAAGTGCGCTGTGCAAAACCGTCTCAAGTTTACCACAGTCTATGGTTCACCTTGGTCTCAAAACCAGCATTTACAAAATAAATTCTCCCGCTGCTCACTGTGCCTGAGCAGTTTGAAATAATTTGTATCCAAACCACAACGTTTAAAAACGCGTTTAAATGATAAACTTACATCATGATGGCGCAGCAAAATTTAAATATTTCTACCGGATATATTATCGCCAGTCCTTTAGGCGAATATAGAGTTTAATCAAACACAAAAAGCAAAATTATACATCCATCAAGTTAATATTCAAACTTACCGAAAGTTTGTGGGGTCGATGATGACGCTGTGTTTTAAGAATAGACTAGATTAGAATGAAGAGAAGAGTAAAGGCTATTTATTGGTTGATGTATAACCTATTCTAATAAGGCGCAGGCAGCAATCATCTATAGGCCTACGTGCAGCAGCAGGTCGGTGTTCACAAGTTAAATATAGAATAAATATATTTGTCATATTAAATTAAAACCTGACGTTTCAATTTACCATGCCCTGCTCAGAGCCGTTGGCCCTGCATGCCTACGGGGGTTTGATTGACAGGTGGCCTGGCCAATCATAACGCCGAATACGCAACTTTGTCCGACAACAAAGCTGTCAGTCGGTGGACATGAACTTGAAAACGGTAATGTTTAAATTACGTAAAATGACAATATTTGAAAGTTGAGACTTTGTTTCATATCAACAGTAAGCTGCTCTGAACTCTCTCTCGTAATCACTCGGTGTAACGTTAGTCTTTGCCCCGCGAAGTATTTTTCACTGCGTGAGTGCATGAGAACATGATGTGCGTGACTCGCGAGAGCCGCCTGGCTCGTGGCCCGTCATCACATAGTACCTAAAAAAGGCGGGTCTTTGCGAACGTCTCTATTAATGATAATGATTCCATGATAATGCATGGAATATAAGGCAAAGTGCAACTAAATAACAGGGATAATTTGTGGGGGACGTTGCGTGGTAAGGCTTTGGTAATCAGATGGCTTGCAGTATCTGCTCCACAGCCAATCACGGGCCCCCTCCTTGCTTGGGCCCCGGGGCTTAAGCCCCGCCTAGCCCTATGGTTAATGCGGCCGTGATTATAATTATTTATTTCTCATCCCAGATAGCACACGTACGTCTGCAAGATCACTTCATCTGGAAAGCATCTGCTGTTTATTAACATCTGATAGACATCTTTAAGATGTCAGTTTAACGTAGCTACGTTCTAAATCAGAGACATCTTCTAAACGTCTATTTGACAGCTGACAGGAAACGTCCTGTAGACATATTGCAGATGAGCAAACACTCTAAAAAATACATACGTCATCCAGATGTAAACACACACATCAAATAAACGTCTCTGTGATGTACGTGTGCTATTGGGGATGAATCAAACACAGATAAATGTGATGTATAATGAAAGAGATATGGAGTTTAAATTAATTACAAAAATGTTTCAGAAAAAAATAAATTGAAAGAAATGATAACTCATAATGGAAGTAAGTGTAAAGGAATGAATAGAAATAAAGAATAACAGATGGAGTTTAGTCATGATGTCATGATGTCACACACAGGACAGAATTAAACACTTTTTTAAATTAAAATGTATTTATTTATTTTATTTACAGGTTTATGACATAATACAGTAGATACAAGTGTTTCACATACTGTTGACAGAATTAAACCCGACAGAAAACTAAATGAAGAAGATGAGTGATTTTTTTTTTCTGGTTTAAGAAGCGTTTTTTTTTTTTTATTATTCTAACCAACAAAGTCAATATACAGTCAGAATTGCAATATATACAAAATGGAGAAAACAAAAACAAGCAAAAAAAAAAAAAAAAAAAAAAAAAAAATCAGACAGCCAGGCGGGGAAGAAGATGAGTGATGATGGGAAGGTTTATTGTTGTTGACGTGAGGTCTCTGCGCATGCGCATTCGGAGGAAACACGATTGCAGAAACCGAAAGCAAAGAAGATCATTAGGAAAAGTAAATTCACCTTCAGAAGTTTTGAAACAACACACATAAATATCACATCACTGTAAGTTTATTTATCTGCTTCTGATATCATGTCATATTATTCTACCATCATATTAAACTCGAAATATTAACCGTCATTTATTTAATGTGCTGGGAAGTTTTGAATGTGTTGTAAAATGATCTTCAGGATTATAATGATATCAAGATCAATGGATTCTGCTTTAATCTGAGAATAATAAATGGATTCTTTACTATCTGAAATATTCAAAGGTAGAAATTTAAACATCTAAAGTAAATACTGAACACTTCCGGGGTTCTGTTGGCCAGGAGTCGATCCAAAGACGATCAGCTTCAGAGAGAAGATTATGACAAACACATATATGTATTATTTATTATGGCTATAACAACACCTATCAAAGTACCTGGTTTGTGTTATTTAGAGGATAAATAATATAACAAGATAAATAATAAAAGACACCTGATAATGTTCAACCTTTAATGTGATGCAAAATAAAACAATTATAATACATTTCATTGAACCCTGTCCTTTTTGAGTCATTTCACAGTTTTTTGTATCTGATTGTTAAACTGCATTGAGACTCGATTGTGGAGGGAGAACTATTAATGATTATAAAGTGTAAAAGTCTCCATGTGGAAGCGTTCAGAGAGTTATTCATCAGTGTGAGGAATGTGATACAAGCTCTGACACACAGAAGCTGTCAGTGACGTCTCTTTACAAGCATCCTCCTCAAACTGCTGCAACTACACACACATCTCCAGAATCTCATTGTGTGTGTAGTGTTGGGATTTTACAGTGCTTTACTGGAATAATCTAAATGTTCTGTGTGATCTGTTCTCTCCATGCACAGGTCTGAAGTCAGTTTCTCATTATGGAGAACAGAGAGAAGAGGAAGAGAAAGCGATCTTCATCTCCAGATCCCAGCGGCGTGTCTGTGAAGAGTGGGAGATCAATGATCAATGACCCCAGTGATAAAGCAGTGACCTCTGACCCCAGTGATGAAGCAGTGACCTCTGACCACAGGTGAGTGTAAACCTGTAGTGTTGAATTAACTGTAGTTTGGGAGTCACAAACACACTGAATTGATCATTTGTGAATCAGAACCAATGAATCAGATGAATAATCCCAAAAATAGAATGAATATGAATTCTTGAAGATATATTCTTGTAAAATTTAATTTAAATCCACTATTAAAAAAAAAAATGCTGTTCAACATCCTGCCCAATGTTGTCTTTCAAAGAATGTGTAATCACTGTGTAATATAATGGTCTGTGTATGTTGCGTTCATTCGTTTTTTGATTCAATAATGAAACTAGAAAAACGAGAAAACCTTTTTCAAAAAACCAAAAACCTAGTATTCAGCTTGGTTTTCTCAGGTAGAAAAATCTATAAACAGCTTGAATATACGATTTCTACATGTAGGCGGGAATGAAACGCCCCTTTTAGTCTGGTAGGAAGGGGGGGTTCACCTGCACCCGAAAGATATATTTTTTTAACCTAGTTTTTTATAATCCTTAAGGTGTCTAGAAAAGGAATTTTGATGTTCCCCGCGCAAATTTTTGTCCCATATGTGATTTTTTGTATCATCTTTTGTGTCCGTGCTTGATTTTTGGCTGCGGAAAATGAAAACTTTAAATCTACATAGAATCTGAACAATACATCCTACAGACACAATCTACCCCATTTTCTCTTCGTCTTTGCATGAGGAATTGATAGATATGAGGATTGTCTTGATTAGATGATGTATAGTGCATAAAAACTCAAATAAACACCACAAAATGTCAAAAAATGGTGACATTGGATCACTGGAACTCCTCCCCTATGGACCCTTCTGATATATGTTTTCTAACTTTTGTATTTTTACAGTCATTAGGATGTCTAAGAAGCAAATGTTGATGATCCCCACCTGAAATATTGTCACATGTATGTATTTTCTGGCTATATTGGTTGCCACCCTGGATATCCAAAAGAGCAAAAAAGCACATTTAGGCAGTCTGTTTTTCTCCTTTAGTTTTCGATTTGATAAATCTCCTCCATTTTTCATAACTGGCTATGTAAATTATTGTTGAGCACATGTTGAGCTTGTTCCCAACATCAATTGTTGCACATTAAAAATATAACGTAGATATTTTAATTAAATAATACATTTTAAGATACAACGTGTTCAAAAATATGCATTAATTAAAAATCACATCATGTAATTAGGATTCACTGGTAATGTGAGGTTTATTTAACATACATTTTTAAACTAACTACACAAATACATAGCTTACATCATGCACCAACACACAATTAGAAAGATCTTTCTTGGTGAAGAGCATTTAGCATTATGGAAGCCCACATTAACTGGCAGATATTGGTCTCTTCAGGTTTTTGTTAAGTTGAAAAAAAAATGTTATGCTTAATAATTAATTAATTGTACTTTCATTATTATTATTATTACTACTGGTGAGGGAATGTGTTTCATCTCGAGTGGGACAATCTGAACAATATAACAACAAACATTCATGAATTCATCGTCAAGTCATGATTAGATGATGTATAGTGCATAAACACTCAAATGAACACCAAAAAATGTAAAAATAAATTGTGACATTGGATCACTGGAACTCCTGTCCTTAGGACCCTATTGATATATGTTTTCTAACTTTTGTACTTTTACAGTCTTTATGATGTCTAAGAAGCAAATGTTGATGATCCCCACCTGAAATAACTATCCATCATAAAAGTGCATCTATCCATCATAAAAGTGCATCTATCCATCATAAAAGTGCATCTGTCCATCATAAAAGTGCATCTGTCCATCATAAATGTGCATCTGTCCATCATAAAAGTGCATCTATCCATCACATAAGTGCATCTGTCCATTATAAAAGTGGATCTGTCCATCATAAAAGTGCATCTATCCATCACATAAGTGCATCTGTCCATCATAAAAGTGCATCTATCCATCATAAAAGTGCACCTATCCATCATAAAAGTGCATCTGCCCATCATAAAAGTGCATCTAACCATCATAAAAGTGCATCTAAAGTGCATCTATCCATCATAAAAGTGCATCTATCCATCATAAAAGTGCATCTGTCCATCATAAAAGTGCATCTGTCCATCATAAATGTGCATCTGTCCATCATAAAAGTGCATCTATCCATCACATAAGTGCATCTGTCCATTATAAAAGTGGATCTGTCCATCATAAAAGTGCATCTATCCATCACATAAGTGCATCTGTCCATCATAAAAGTGCATCTACCCATCATAAAAGTGCACCTATCCATCATAAAAGTGCATCTGCCCATCATAAAAGTGCATCTAACCATCATAAAAGTGCATCTATCCATCATAAAAGTGCACCTATCCATCATAAAAGTGCACCTGCCCATCATAAAAGTGCATCTGCCCATCATAAAAGTACATCTGCCCATCATAAAAGTCCATCTGTCCATCATAAAAGTGCATCTGCCCATCATAAAAGTGCATCTGCCATCATAAAAGTGCACCTATCCATCATAAAAGTGCATCTGCCCATCATAAAAGTGCATCTATCCATCATAAAAGTGCATCTATCCATCATAAAAGTGCATCTATCCATCATAAAAGTGCATCTAGCCATCATAAAAGTGCATCTATCCATCATAAAAGTGCACCTATCCATCATAAAAGTGCATCTAGCCATCATAAAAGTGCATCTGTCCATCATAAAAGTGCACCTATCCATCATAAAAGTGCATCTGCCCATCATAAAAGTGCATCTGTCCATCATAAAAGTGCATCTATCCATCATAAAAGTGCATCTAACCATCATAAAAGTTCATCTGTCCATCATAAAAGTGCATCTATCCATCATAAAAGTGCATCTGTCCATCATAAAAGTGCATCTATCCATCATAAAAGTGCATCTATCCATCACATAAGTGCATCTGTCCATCATAAAAGTGCATCTGTCCATCATAAAAGTGCATCTGTCCATCTTAAAAGTGCATCTACCCATCATAAAAGTGCATCTGTCCATCATAAAAGTGAATCTGTCCATCATAAAAGTGCACCTATCCATCATAAAAGTGCATCTGCCCATCATAAAAGTGCATCTGTCCATCATAAAAGTGCATCTGTCCATCATAAAAGTGCATCTAACCATCATAAAAGTGCATCTATCCATCATAAAAGTGCACCTATCCATCATAAAAGTGCACCTGCCCATCATAAAAGTGCATCTGCCCATCATAAAAGTACATCTGCCCATCATAAAAGTCCATCTGTCCATCATAAAAGTGCATCTATCCATCATAAAAGTGCATCTGTCCATCATAAAAGTGCATCTATCCATCATAAAAGTGCATCTATCCATCACATAAGTGCATCTGTCCATCATAAAAGTGCATCTGTCCATCATAAAAGTGCATCTGTCCATCTTAAAAGTGCATCTACCCATCATAAAAGTGCACCTATCCATCATAAAAGTGCATCTGCCCATCATAAAAGTGCATCTGTCCATCATAAAAGTGCATCTGTCCATCATAAAAGTGCATCTAACCATCATAAAAGTGCATCTATCCATCATAAAAGTGCACCTATCCATCATAAAAGTGCACCTGCCCATCATAAAAGTGCATCTGCCCATCATAAAAGTACATCTGCCCATCATAAAAGTCCATCTGTCCATCATAAAAGTGCATCTGCCCATCATAAAAGTGCATCTGCCCATCATAAAAGTGCACCTATCCATCATAAAAGTGCATCTGCCCATCATAAAAGTGCATCTATCCATCATAAAAGTGCATCTATCCATCATAAAAGTGCATCTATACATCATAAAAGTGCATCTAGCCATCATAAAAGTGCATCTATCCATCATAAAAGTGCACCTATCCATCATAAAAGTGCATCTAGCCATCATAAAAGTGCATCTGTCCATCATAAAAGTGCACCTATCCATCATAAAAGTGCATCTGCCCATCATAAAAGTGCATCTGTCCATCATAAAAGTGCATCTATCCATCATAAAAGTGCATCTAACCATCATAAAAGTTCATCTGTCCATCATAAAAGTGCATCTATCCATCATAAAAGTGCATCTGTCCATCATAAAAGTGCATCTATCCATCATAAAAGTGCATCTATCCATCACATAAGTGCATCTGTCCATCATAAAAGTGCATCTGTCCATCTTAAAAGTGCATCTACCCATCATAAAAGTGCACCTATCCATCATAAAAGTGCATCTGCCCATCATAAAAGTGCATCTGTCCATCATAAAAGTGCATCTGTCCATCATAAAAGTGCATCTAACCATCATAAAAGTGCATCTATCCATCATAAAAGTGCACCTATCCATCATAAAAGTGCACCTGCCCATCATAAAAGTGCATCTGCCCATCATAAAAGTGCATCTGCCCATCATAAAGTGCATCTAAACATCATAAATGTGCACCTATCCATCATAAAAGTGCACCTATCCATCATAAAAGTGCATCTGCCCATCATAAAGTGCATCTGTCCATCATAAAAGTGCATCTAACCATCATAAAAGTGCATCTATCCATCATAAAAGTGCACCTATCCATCATAAAAGTGCACCTGCCCATCATAAAAGTGCATCTGCCCATCATAAAAGTGCATCTGCCCATCATAAAGTGCATCTAAACATCATAAATGTGCACCTATCCATCATAAAAGTGCACCTATCCATCATAAAAGTGCATCTGCCCATCATAAAGTGCATCTATACATCATAAAAGTGCATCTAGCCATCATAAAAGTGCATCTATCCATCATAAAAGTGCACCTATCCATCATAAAAGTGCATCTAGCCATCATAAAAGTGCATCTGTCCATCATAAAAGTGCACCTATCCATCATAAAAGTGCATCTGTCCATCATAAAAGTGCATCTGCCCATCATAAAAGTGCATCTGCCCATCATAAAAGTGCATCTGCCCATCATAAAAGTGCATCTGCCCATCATAAAAGTGCATCTATCCATCATAAAAGTGCATCTATCCATCATAAAAGTGCATCTGTCCA